TATCATCATTTTTTGTTAGGTTTATATCTTATAAGTCTGTATTTTAAACAATTTTGAAATCATTGCTAACCTACCTAAATTTGATAATTTTATTTGCGGTCTGGATCATTTTTTAATGTCACAAAAAATTAATTGCTCGGCAAATCTGTAATATTGTTCAAAAATATTTTAGCGTTAAATACAGCATTAGTAGACCATTCTAAAACTGAAATAAAATACAAGGTGTTTCATTTAAAAAATATACATTTTTATTTTTAAAATATGCCTTTTTCAAACCCATATAACTTTTTTTTGAAAACTTGTTTGTGTGTCTATAACACAAATTGATTCATTGAACAATTACGCACTAATACGACACCCTGTATAAAAATCAAAAACAGGAAAACATTTTTCAAGGACGTCAGAATTGTCAATTGTCCGATCATGGAACCCAAATAAATTTAATAAAATTGGGAAACATTGATAATCACAAACAACGAATATCCCAAGATTAGGGTAGCAAGTTCCCCCAAGATTAATCAAAATCAACGTGGACAGACTACAATAAAAATTCCCATAATATTCGAAAATTCCCACATGTTGACAACACTGCACGGCTCAATCAAGCGGAGCGCAACATTTTCGATGAGAGGGATAGGAAGGTTTTTTCTAGCCACACCTCGTATACTATAGGTTGATCAAATCCTTACGGAAAAGTGATACTAGGTTAAAATTTCTAAATTTGTTAATGAAAATATTCACATGATATACAGAGTGTTAAAAATGCATATTAGTTAGTCTTAAAAAGGCTCAATTTCTTAACACAGTATCTATCTACTTTGACTCTGATCTATTTTTATTTAATACAATTTGAAATAATTAAGAATTGAAAAGAGTAAATTAAAAGTACACCTCTTTATGAAAAAAATACAGGAACAAAATTTTAACTTAATTCTCTGAAATATGGCCTTTTAGTTATATTATAGCTCATTATTCAAGCTCAATGTTACATAAATAATTTTGATAAAAAAAAATTTTACTATGTAAATTTTTGCTCTTATTTCTTTTCAAAACAAATAAAAAAATGATTCAATTCAAAAACCACATGAGTCAATTACAAAATATGTTTTTTCTTAACTTGTATTTTCTTGATCTTTTCTTCTATTCATATCATTTGAATACATTTTAAAAATATATATATTTTTTTAAATAAAATTTTTGTACAAAAAAGTTTTTTGCGTACTGAAAATTTAGTTATTTGCTTTATTTCAAAGATAGAGTGTTTAAATTTTTAATTTTTTTTATCGGTTTTTTCAAAATATTTCTCGGCATTAACAGCTTTAAAAACCATTTGAATGAAATTCTGATTGTATAATGTACATACAACACATGATTTTCCTGTAATCAAATAATATATTAAATACGGCCCATTTAATAAAAAACTATTTAGAATAACAATAAAGAAAAATAAAGATAAAAATTATTCAAAACATTTTTTCATATCTTCATTGCCAATGAAAATAATGAAAAATTCAAATTTTACACTTTTCCTCAAATTTCTCCGGTCTATTTTAGAAAATTATATCACAAATAATTCTTATTAAAATAATTTTCTTCTATAGTCATAAATAAAAGAAAATTTCCTTAAAGTAGAAAAACGGACCAATATAAGGTACCCTCTCAACTGTTCCTGCCCAAAATCAACCCACCGCAGAAAGGAATAAAGCATAAGTTAAAAATTTGGTGTTTTTCTCTTTATCCGTCTTTGAATTATCTAGTGAAAATGGTCAAAACAAATTCAGGGAACCCCAAAACGTAAAGATCCGTCGAAAATTCGAGGTCGAAAAAAAATTATGATTCCTATACTTCCCTTACTGGATACAGGAAAGTAAAAAGCACAGTATCTAAGTCAATAAAGACGAATCTAGCATACTACATTTTTTTACGATTTATTTTAAGCTTGATATTTAACAAAGTTTTATAAAATTCCATCTCCTGAATGAAGCCGAAAGGCGATTTTTATTAGTCATTAAAATATCTAATTAATTGTTTTATCGAAAAGTAAAAAAGTCAGCGGCGTACATATTGTTTGTTAAAAATTAATAAAGCATCCGTTAGCACGCGCGCCCATGGTAAACCTGTTTACAACTTTTGATCGAAAATATGTGTTTTTTTAGTTAAATTTTACCACCAAAATTTCAATCAAATCGGTATAGCCGTTTCGGAAAAATAAAAAATATTTAAAATTATAACACCCTGTATCTTTGAAAAAAAAAACATCTCCGGAACCATATTGATAGGAAACTAGTTGTCTTATTTTTAGTTAAAGAATCACCCCACATTTTTTTGAAACACCCTGTATAACTTTTATACTTTATTAGTAAATTCAAAATAAAAGCAATGTAAAAAATTACACATTTTAACCTATTAAATGTTATAGTATAGGTCTGTATATCATAAAACTTGTTATAGGCGTGGACGCTTCTGATCAGATTGTCAAGTATTACATGTGAAACATTTAGAAAATTTAACATAAGTAGGTACAATTTTTCCATAAAGTTTACAAAAAAATTGATCATTTATCAACCAATTATTGGGAAGCTTAAATAAAATTAAACATATAATATGCTTTTAAGGTTAGATTCAGAAAATTGTATCTTTGCCCTACTGGAAAAAATTCTAGCGGGGCCAATGCTACCGAGTGTTCTATAAGGACCGGACTGTGAAGTATAATTTGAGATGTAAGTTCAATAAAAATTTTAGCTAAAAATAAAATGATTAAAACATTTTAAACGTGAAACAACCAATTTTCATAACAAGTTTATTTTCATAGTTTTAATTATAAAATAAAAATAACCAAAAAAACTGTTGCAATTCACGTGGAAGAGTGTTGCCTTTTGATTATGTTATAATCTTTTTATCTAATTATAAAACTTTATGGGATAGAATGTACGTTTTAAAAAAACTGCAAAGTAAATCCTTGAAGTAAATAACCTATCCATCACATTTAAAATGATTTCCTGGTGAAATTTTTGGTTTATTTATCTTATCCTTCTATTTTCAGAAACATAAAGTTCTATAAAAGTTTTAAATATTCCAACTATTTCATATTAGTTGGCTAGTATCTGTTATAATAATCATTGAGAATCTGTGCTAATGTAATGCATTAATTATATTTGTGTACCACGAAAATATATTTTTATTTACAATAAATAAATATTTTACAGATGGAATAAAATTAATAGCTCAAATAATGGTGTACTTTTGAATATTAGATGTTTTTGAGAACTTTGTTCAGTTGTTAAAACGTATGTTTGCAGCAGTTTCTGCCAGACAGTACAAAAGTTTACTCTGCCTACATGGGTTTTACCTTCAACGTGAAACCATTAAAAAATATATATACATAACTAACTTAATTTAGTGACTTTACTTTAGTTTGACCCAAAAAATATATTTCAGATTCTACAAACATGCATCATATGTACCCCTTAGCAAAAGGGGACCCATTATGCCCTTTAGGATTCCACCCGCAAGTGAGGTGGCCCACAAGATGTAAAAGATGTTTCAGGTATGCTTACAATATTTGTATTCTTAAAATTGATTAAGACTGTATTTGCTTGATTAGTATACGCTTCACTAGTCTGTGAAGATTATTATGCGTTTATGTTCCGTTCTTCTGTCCGATGTTACTTTTTTGTCCGCACGATAAGTCAAAAACGAAAAACGATATCAGTTTGAAAATCTCAGGAAAATCAAACTCCATAAGGGAAGGGAACCTATTGATTTTGAAAAAATCTAAATAAAAATGGGGGTTATAGGGAGTTGAAATATTTAAGAAAATCCTAACTCAAAAACGAAAAATGATAACTTGAAATTTTTGGCAAAAATCAAACCCTATAAAGGGACAAAGCCTATTGACTTTGAAAAAAATCTAATTAAAAATGGGGGTTAATTAAAAAAAATTCTAATTAAAACGAAAAGCGATATCAACATGAAATTATTAGTTAAAATCAAGTTCTATAATGTGAAGAAGTCCTTTGATTTTAAACAAATCTGATTAAAAATGTGGGGGTTTAAGGAGGGTGGAAATTAAAAAAAAAATTATAAATCAAATACGAAAAGCGATATCAACATCAAATTTTTAGTAAAAATCAAGTTCTATAAGGATATGGAGCATATTGATTCTGAAATAAATTTGAATTAAAACAGGGTGTTAAGGGGGATTGAAATATTTAAAAAAATCATAAATCAAAAACGAAAAGCGTTATCAACATGAAATTATCAGTAAAAATTAAATGAAGGGTTAAGGGGAGATGAAATATTTAAAAAAATCCTTACTCAAAAACGAACGATAATATTATAATAATATTATAAGGGGAAAAAGCTTATTGATTTTAAAAAAATCTGAATAAAATGGGAATCAGGGGGTTGAAATAAAAAAAAAATAGAAATCAAAAACCAAAAGCGAAATCAAGCTCTATAAGGGAATTAATAAATAAGTAAATAAAAATTGGGAAAAAGGGGGGGTTGAAATATTTAAAAAATCCCAACTCGGACACAAAAAACAATATCAAATTAAAATCTTCAGGAAAAATCAAGCTTTATAAGGGGACGAAGCCTATTGATTCTGAAAAAATCTGATTGAAAATGGGGGTTAAGGAGGTCTGTTAAAATGTGAAGAGTATAATATAGAATGCCAAGCATTATATATCTTCATTCTGATTTAACATTATAACACATAAACCAATTACATCCTCATTTTTTGACCCTTCTATTGGACTGACAACATAGGTAGTGACAGACCTAATCAAAAAATATTCCCTTATGGAATTTAAGGACAGATGGGATGAAACAATAGACTGCAGAGTTTCCAGGGAGCTTAAGTTATCCTGACACACATTCTGACTGGTCATTGCCAAGTGAGGAAGCATCTCCATGTCACGGGACTATCAGAATTTGCACTCTGAAGGAGGTGCGCAGAAGAAGATGGGACCATCGAGCGTATCTTCTACGGTTGCCCGATGCTTTCATTTATTAGAAGATTTGTGTTCGGCGAGTATCGGCTAACACCGGCCGATATAAGAAAAGCACCTCTTAACGACGTTGTCACCTACAGGTGCCTATCATCTTAGGAGGCATAATAAGGCCTAAGTGCCGAGGGGGTAATTCACCCTCCCCACGTTGCATATACAGATAATAATAATATTCTCCCTAGGTTTCTCCCTTACGAGTGAATATCAAATTAGCTCGCAAATGAATGTGAGCCCCGTAGGCATCTACGCTACCGTAGTTGATACAGCAACCAGAGTAATACCTATATCAATCATTTATGCGAAACGTCAATCTGAAGTTTGTCAAAAAGATGAAAAATAATGGACAAAAATGGTGTTGATTGTGTAAATATACATTACTGAGGCCCTTCCTATGGGGCCTCAGTATTGCATTCGTAGAGACAAAAAAAAAATTCTTACCCCATTTTTTAAAACTTTTTTTATGTTTCCGATCATTCTGAGTCCGAAAATGCAAAAAAAAATGTTCGTCTGGTCGTCTGTGTGTATGTATGCCGGCACGATAACTCTAGAACGAAAGTTTTGATTGACTTGCGGTTTTGATTTCCTTGAATAACTACTTCTAACTTAGAACCCTATTGATTTTCAGAATTTTCGGTTCATCCTAACTATATTAATATCAATTTTCCTAAAATCCGCCTATGCATTTCTTATGTGACAATTTTAGGAATTCCAATCATTTCTAACGTCTATTTCTAACATTCTTAACATTCCATAAATTGCAAACATTCTCTAACGACCTGTCAAACAACAGCTGTTGATGGTAAAGATGAGATTTCTAAGGCGGGTTGCGACCTTCATACTTGCAACCATAGCCATTTTGGAGGCTATTTTTATTCGAAATTAGTCGCCAAGCCTGCCAATTTATGAAAAATATATAAGCAGTTTCTTAAAAATTACTTTTTTATGGTGGTGCTAACTTAAGCGTACTACTATTTCGCTCCTAGCCACAAAAACACCTTAATCAAATTTACTGGCTCTCTGTCGCAACCCCATAGAATAATTAACCGGCCATTTTATTTGGCAAAAATCAGAATAATGCTTGGCTGTGCCTGTCAAGTATCAAGATGTCAACTGTGATGTGTGAATGGTTTTTAAATGTTAAATTATTTAAAAATGTATGCTTCTTTTGATATTTATTGCAAATAATATTTGTAGTGTATCTCAATTCGGGCTTTCCATAAATAAAGGTACAGCAAGACAGATGTTCTTGTACAAAGCACTTTTTTATTATATAAAAGAGAGGTAGGATATAATGCTGTTTTTTTTAGTTAATTTTAATTATACGCTTTTGGATTACATTAAGGGGTTGAAGTGCAATATCATATAGTCCACATTATACCATATCGCAAAATAAATTCAACCAGCGAATTGTAAATAATAATTAGTAAACTCCTAGTCATAAATTTCCTCATTTCGTAAAATTTAAAAATGAATCTTCTTACCTTGGGATTTTAATGACGTAATATGATCAATCCATTTCAAATTTTAATCAATTATGATATCGAGGTATTTTGTTGTGTTTTTTATTTTAATTATGAAGTTGTCATTTATTTTTATGTTGAAAGAAGGCCTTTGTAAATTACATTGCTTTCTATGGATCTACTTTAACACAAAAATAGTTTGATGGCTATAAGTTGCTATAACCTATCGTCGCAAACTATTAATAATTTAAACAGAGTAAATAGTATTAGTATAACATCAAGTAATTTTTTAAAATAAAGTACATGATCTCAAAACAAAAATAATTTATAATAAAAAGGGCAGGTTTAAAGAGTATTATCACAAGAAAGTACATCCGTTTTGTTTATTTATCAAGTATTGTTTGAGGTTTCTTTTGAATACATTTATTGTTTTTTTTTTAATTTCTGTAGGCAGTCTATTACATTTTTTAAACCTTTAATAAAAATTGTATTTTGGGAACTTTTAGTGATGGCTTGCCGTACATGAAAGTCAGATTGGCTTATAATAGTTGTTATATTGCGAATTATATTGAATTTTTCAAATAGATCTGATGCGATGGTACTATATGTCATTTTTATTTTATAAATAAATATCAGTCATGTACTGATCCTAATTCTGAACTGAAAGTCAATTTATTTATTTTAACATAGTTGCAATACTCATCCTTCTGTCCTTTATTAATAAAATATAAATAGGCGAAGTAAGGAGCCCAAATATTTTACATGAGCAGGCTTAAGAGGTAAAGGGGCCAATTATTATTGGATAAATCGCTCGAGCAAGTTTTTAAACCCTAATCAAAAGGTTTTAAAAATCAAGGCTTGTGAAAATCATCACATGGTTTAAACTAAGTAAGGCCAATGCTTCACAAACCAAAAAATTCAACGTCCTAATACGCTTTCGGTCTTTTGCTCCAAGTTAAATCCTTTCTCGTTTTTGTTACTGTACGAGTTTACCCTTGTGGGCCTCAGGTGTCGATAAGGTGGGAATCACTATTTTAGCGTCTCTTGAATTTAATATTAATATTAATTTTGTAAACAAATAAAATTAAATTGTGCATAAAATTTTTATTATTGTTAAATAATCTTTCCAAATATGATTCGAGGCGAGATTTTTTTTTAAATATTGTTGTTTCCTTACAAATTATGGAAATTTTCAAGGATACAACAAAATGTTCTCAAAAAATTCTCACCTCTTGTGGTATTACTTTTGGAAATTGAAATTGGCGCGACTCTAATCCCTAATGTATGTAAAAACATCAACACTGGCCGTTCCATTTCGTTTAAAAAATAAATGACTTTGTGTGACAATTTATATTCCGAATAAGCAACTGAAAAAATAGTCAAATTACTTATTAAAAATACGTGGCTTCCAAAATTAGAGGTAATATTTTAACAGCGCATTACACCTTTCTATAAACATCAAAATATGCCTTATAAATACCTTAAATATTATTCAAAATGGGTTATAGAATATATTTTTTGTGTAAAATTTTCTATTTCATTTGTAGAGATTACAAAGAACATGGTGGTAAAAAAAGAGATACGGATACAAACTTGCACAAAGATGCATCGACTGTATCTACACCGAGCCTTTCATGGAGCACCAGGTAAGTAAGAACCCATAGTTGGTTTCTTTAACAAGAAGCGATTTTTGAAATATTCATAATCTCCCACACTCGGCGTACTACATTTGGACTCAATTCAAAACAGTATAATTAAATAAATAGAGGTCTTAAGACTATCCAATTGTATACATAAATTTAATTCTTTTATAAATACAAACGGAATACTTTACAAGCAAAATAAAAGCAAAATCATTTTTCTAAAATGTCAACAATGACATCTTTTATACCTAATCGGATCTCAGTTTTCGTGTTTCTAAGTTTTTTTTTCTAATCAGCTGAGATGATCTGTATCTAAATTATTTCCAACTGCGATGTTCTGATATCGATTTTTAAATATAATAAAAAGAAAGAAATATGACTCTAGTTTTATTGAAGTAGAAATTTTACAGAGATGGCGAGAGTAAAAACAGAAGTTGGATGTCCAGTACCAACCTGTCAGAATCGAAAGAAAATAGCCATAATAGTGATAACGATTTTAATTATCCTTCATCGTGGATATCAACTCCCGATTTAGCAAATATGCAAGATGATACCCAACCAATAACCACGGTTAACTTACAATTACCAAAAAGGAAAATAAAACCAATAGATACAGGACAAAGAACAGGTATATATAACAAACATTTTGCGTTATTACCTACATTTTTGGTTATTCACTTTTACTGTATACACCGTCCACTCAACCTCATTTTTGAAAGCAATTTTTTTTGTAGTTTTTTATGTAACACCAGCTAAACTCAACCTTAACCTATGTAGCACGAAGAAAACTAGTCTAGCACACACAATTTTATATTTCTTTGATTTTTTCACTATATGTGGTTGCTCTATGTATTTCTGCACAACATTTGGCATCTCCAATTTCGACTAAGTAAGGTCTCTCTATGTTTTCCAACGGCATCCATCTATGTTGTTACAACTTTTAGACCTATATTGTTGCTCATTCTTAATAATAACAATACTCCCCTATAAGTCACCCCCTTACGAATTACCCCTGAATAAGAGCTTGTGGAGGGAGGAACATATTATTATTATTTGCCAGCACCACCTCAGTTGTAGCCATCTTATTATTTTTCTTTTCTCCTTTTAGAATGTTTCTTAGTTCACAGTCGTTTTTTATTGATAAACGCCTTTTTATATCCTCTATAATACGTCACTTATGCTCTCAGATTATCATCTTCAATACTTGTAAGAATCACTATTTCCTCTGTATAATGACCACAGCACTGGTGTGATTGCTCATTTGTTGTTCTTCATTTCTGTATTCGTATTTATGGTTTTTCGTAATTTTGTTTTTCTTTGTTATTTTCTTGAACTTCTCTTTGTTTCTTCTGCAACTTTCACTGCAGCTCTAAATATTTTTCTACTTTCAACTCGTAGTCTTTACTTAAAGTCCGCCTTATTCAATCGATCAAAGCATTAAAAACGTTAAAATAGTGCTACTCTAGACTACCCAACGGACTCTAAAATTAGATCATAGGTAATCTGAAGTCTGATGATAGCCCACCGTTAGTTTCAGATAGTTTTTCTCTAGTAAAAGAAAAGTCACCGCTATTTAACAGAAACGAGAGTCTAGCAGATAGAGCAAATAAACTTAAAGCTATTAAAGAATCGACACCTCAGCGAGGCAGAAGAATTCAAATAAAAGAAGTCAAAACAATATCAGAGGAACCAACAAATCACGATGTACAATTTCTTATTCAAGTAATTTAATGTGTTCTGTTTGTGTGTAAACCTACCCATCCCATACCGATCAGCATTTGTTTCATGACGTAGAACTAGGCAAAAAGTAGTCGTAGAAATTAATAATAATCTGAAATGTACAGGGTATATCATTATAATCGTTTCTTGGGCTTCTAAAACAAATCAGGATTGGAAAACATACTACGGCTGGTCTCATACAACTTTTCGATTTAATTTAACATAGTAGTTGTGATATTTTTACTGTGTCAGTGCGGTGTTTGCAAGAAGGGTTTTATCAAAATGGACGACAACAAACTATAAGCCGCACAAACCTACTCCCATAGATTATAACCAATAAGTTAGATAAGATTGTTTACAAAATTTCTGAAGCCAATATGAGTTCGCATTCTAAGCTTTCTTGGTAGAAATGCAATATTCTGATTAAAACTGGCCAAGTTCTTAACATTATTAGTGCAAAATACGTTGCAATCCTGTGAGTCCTTCAAATTATCTGAATAAATTTTAAGTTTGACACCAGCGGCGCAATGGCAATAATTGATATTTGTAAAACAGTTGTAATCCCGTTTCATTCGTCATTTAGCTTCGAGAATTGTTTGTCGCAGCCATTTTTAAAAACAATTTCATGAATGAGTAGCTTCCCGATTATGATAATGCTCATGGTTTTTATTCCATAAACATGGATACGTCTACTTCTCCGCAGAAGTTATCAAAGCTGATAAAATTGCTGTGGAGAAGTAATCATGTTGCACCCACTGTTACAGCAAAAATATCAGTATAACTAAGTTAAATAAAATCGCATATGTGCAATAGCAATCCGATTGTCGGACTGACCAAACGTAGAAAAAATCTGATTGCTGTATTTGTAAAATTTTCATAAAAAAATATAATAGAAATAGACATTTTACAATAAATAATAATTTTCTACAATTTTTTTCCAGATATGTATCTATAGGTAATACAAAGAAATGTTCAGTAAAGAAAATCATCATTTACATAAATATTACTAAATATTACACTATCTTTAACTAATTCTATTTATGTTTCTTGAATATTCTTGTTTCTAACACACTGTTACTATTCAATGAATAATTTTCACAGGGTAACCTTGTATATTTGTCCTTAATAACACCGCTTTATGAGTTCGAATTTTTTTTACCACATATGTTTAACGAACACTCCAGTGTGTATTGTTTTTATTAACTTCTGAGTGTTTTTATTTTAATGTACTAACCTCTTCATCTCTTGAGATTTTTAAAGAACCACGCACCTTCTTTAAACATTCATACTTTCTCTAAACTTCAGTCAGCTAAAAATTATTTAAAGAGAAAGTACGTGGTCCTTTAGAGCAGATTAATCCCCTAAATCAAACTTGACGCAGCAATAATAAATCACCTTCCCTTAGGTAAAGAAATCCCCAAACAAAGAAACATCCTCCCAAGACAATTCTGACAATGATGACACAATCAGTTTAGCCGGTACAGAAACTACGGATACAACATTGGTAGATGATCATGAATTTCGCGACCAACTGGACAGCCTCAAGAAAGAGCTCGAAGTGACCAAAACAAAATGCGAAAGGCTAGAAAGAGAAAAGAGCGACATCTTACTAAGAAGACTAGCTTCAATGGAAACAAGCAAACCAAGCGCCTCAGAAGTATTGAAGCTGCAACAAAAATGCAACGAACTGCAACAACAACTAGAAGATTATAAAGATGAGAAAAAAAGCCTAGGGCTGAGAGTTAAAGAGCTTGAAACTGACTTGGATGTTAGACCGACAGCTCAAGAGGCTCAGAAAATTGCTGACGACCTCCGATCGAAGCTTCTAGCTGCTGAAACATTGTGTGAAGAGTTAATGGACGAAAATGAAGATATCAAAAAGGAATTGAGAGATATGGAAGAACAAATGGATGAATTGCAGGACAATTTTAGGTAACGTAAGTTTTTGTAGTTCTTGTTCTTTTTTATTATTCGAATTATCTTATTTTTAGGGAAGACCAAGCCGTAGAATACACCTCCTTGAAAAAGGACTTGGATCAAACAACCAAAAATTGTCGAATATTATCCTTCAAACTGAGAAAATGCGAGAGAAAGGCCTCCCAACTGGAATTCGAAAAGACGGAGCTAGAGAAAAAGTTAAAAGATGTAAGACTTCCGTACTGCCCCCTCCATATTTTAAATCATGTTTTAAATAAGACTTTTTAGATTTCTGGCAGTGGTACGACTTTAAATCAAATTGAAAAGATCAAGCAATTGGAACAGGAACTGAAATTAGCAAATGAAGTTTCCGTGAGGCTCCAAAAGGACCTAGAGGATGCAAAAACAAAAAACAATAAAACGGAAGATGCTAAGGGACCAACCAAAAAAAAAGCACCTACTCTTGCATCTATAGGAAAGAATTCTTCCAACGATGGAGTAAGTTCATCATTCGTTGGACATTTTTGATAATAACAAATTATTTTATTAAATAGAAAGTATCCAGGGAATCTTTAACAAGAGGAGGCTCGCAGGATGATCCTGTTCAATTATTAAGAGATCTTCAAGACTCTCTGGAGCGAGAAGCAGATCTTAGGGAGCAACTCAAATTTGCCGAAGAAGAGGTAACATTATATTTTTAAGTAAATCATTAATCTACCTTTCTAAAAATATTTAAGGCACAAACATTACGCAAAAAGGTATCAAGAATTGAAGATGATAATGAATCATTAGTCCTGCAACTAAAGAAAATGGCTACCAGAGCAAGAAGTATGTTTCAGTTATTTTTTATTTAAAACCTCCTAAATGTATATCTAACTCCTTTTCAGCTAGAAAACTTAGTCCCACAAATCAAAAGCTTATGCCTGAACCACAAGAGAAAACTGACGCATCAGAAGATGACGATCCCGCAGAGATAAAATTGCAGCTAGAATTAAGTGAACACGAAGCTTCAGTTCTTCGACACAAAGTCGAAGAACTAGAAGGAGACAATCACAAACTAAAAGCGAAAGTAAAAGAACTCCAAGAACAGACCTCTAACAAAACAACAACTAAACGCACGCTGTTAAACAGCGAGAAAGTAAAAGAAAATTCATTACTGAATCAAAAACTACAGGTTAGTTTCGTATTTTAAAATTTAAAAAAATTATTATTTAAGTATTTGCTACATTTTTCATGTTAGGTTTTAGAAGACGAAACTAACGATATAAGAAAGAAGCTGATAGAAAAAGAAAGAGACTGTGAAAGACTTCACGCTGAACTTAGCCTTACTCAGAAAAGATCAAAAGGAATGCAGAAGAGCAAGTAAGTAAAACTTATGTACCTAATTGCTTCAATTATCTCAACCAGGACAACCGAGAGTGTTTTGAACCCTAGATCTTCCAAATGCAACCAAAGTTTCTTTATAAATTTCCAAGCTGCACATCTACACCTATCTGATGAGTTGCTGCTTTTATTTATTTATTTAAATTGTACTGTTTGCAATACAAATTCGACAACAGTATTTTACATATTGGTGGCTAGAAATATTATTTGGTCTAGCCTTAGCCTCTCGGTGGCCCTGACTTTAACCATAAGGTTCTTGGTTACAGATCGTTGGATCTTGATCAACAAACTTTGGATCTTCGTAGGCAACTACAAGTTATTGAACAAGAAGCAACTGTATTGAGAAACAAAGTACAAACGCTGGAAGAGGAAAATGAAAAACTAGGTACTGAAAATAAGAAGTTAGGCCTGAAATCCGCCAAGACTGGAAAAGCTGATAAAAATATGGACAAATTTATTGACCAAATTGCCACACTGGAAGTTGAAATGGCTGAAAAGAACGACAAAATTAGGGAATTGGAGGAAAAACTTAACAAAACCGATAAGCAAGTACAGCCAGTTGAAATCAAGGTATACATACAAATGTCCATAGGTCATATAGTTTTAGATGGCTAAAAAGTATTTTTTTAGGGTGACTTCAAGAAGTTCAGCCAAAGGAATCCAAAACGAGTGACAGCTTTAACATCCAAGGACCAGATGAAAACAATGGTGAGTGATCTAGAAAAGGAAATATGGGAAATGCTACAAGTCCTGAAAACCAACGAAAATGAACGGATAAAATTAGAAGAAGGAGCAAATTCCAAAGTTAAAAAAGCAACCAATGAAATAGAAGAATTAAACAAGAAAATAAGTATTCTAACAAAAGAAGTAGATACAGAAAAACTGAAACTGAATCAAGTAAATTCAGAAAAAGACGAATTGAATAAAACTATCTCTAAATTGAGAGAATCTATGGATAAAATTTCTGGTGAGAAATCAATTCTGCAGAAAGAAATCGATAAATTAAGTAAAGATAAAACCAAATTAACTAATGATAACAAATCATTGGATGAAGAAATCTCAAAATTAACAACTTTAAAACAAAAAACGACATATTTAGAACAAAGTGTTGCAGATAAAGAAAAAGAACTAAAAAAATTAAAAGACGAAAATAGTAAAATCAACAGTGAGGTATTTATTATCTGCAAATTGACGGTTTTATTTAAATTAAAACGATTATTTGTGTTACAGATTGAAAAAGAACGACTGCAGCTCAAATATTTGCAATCAGATCAGGAAAAATGGGAGGAAGAGCGTAAAAAGCTGAATAAAAAAATTGAAAATTTAACCACCAAAATAAATACTTTAGAAAATTCTATTGAACAAAAAGATAAATTAGTAAAAGAATTGGTAAGCTTAGCTCTTAATGATCGTGTAACACCTATATCAAGAATTTGTATCTTTTAGGAAAGCAATTTAGAAAAAGAAAAAGAAAATTTGAGAGCAAGAGAAGCAGCAACTAAGAAAATGAGTACGCAAAAAGAAGAATTAGACACAGCAAATAAAAATAATAAAGCATTAGAAGATAAATTATCGAAAATACAGCTAGAAACGAAAAATAGCAAGCTGGAAAATGAGAAAAAAATTAAACAAATGGACATTGATCTACAGGTGAAATAAAACATTTACTTGTAATTATTTTTTTTATTATTATTATTTATAGAACGAAAGGAAGAAATTGGAACTCTTGAGAGCAAATAACGAAAAAGAACAGAAAAACAGGGAATTAGAATTAACAGCACTGAGAGAGAAAATAAGAAAACTGGAACAAAATACCACGAGTTCCCCCGAAATTAAACAATTACAAAAATCCAATTCAGATTTAGAAAGTACTATTGCCAAAGAAAGAAGAAAATATGACGAACTAACTGCTAAATACGAAATTTTAGAAGAAGAACACGTCATAACTAAAGCGAAATTAGTCATGGAAAGAGAAACATTAGAATCGTAAGTAAATAAGATAACTAATTTTATTATCTGAGCATTTATATTAATGATTGCTTTTTTCAGGCAATACAAAAATCTAAAGCGCGAAATGGAACAACTAGAAAATGAACTGAAAACATTAAGAGACACCTACAACACAAAGCAAGATGCTTGGATCAAAGAAAAATTAGACATAGAATCAAAATTAAAATCAAAGGTGACATTTACAGGCAGCGATTCAGACAGGCAAAGACTGAGAGCGCTACTAGAAGAAAAACAGTCAGAATACGACCAAGTCAAAAAAGAATACGAAGCCATCCATGGCCAAATGGATTTCCTTAGGAAGGAAAACGACGATTTGAAGAAAAAGTTAGATGATTACGATAAAGTTAATAAGATACAAAGGAATATTAATGCTGACAGCACGGCAATGGAGAAGGAAATGAAATCATTACGGATAAGGTAGTTTCTCAGCCAACAGCTTCTAGTATAAACTAACACTGACATTTTTTAGGTTAAACAATTTAGAAAAGAGCAAGAAATCTGATTTGGCTGAACTGAAAATGAGGTACGAAAGTCAAATAAACGTGGTAAACGGTGAGCTGCAATCATTGCAAAATCAAGTAGTTAGATTTAAAAGGGAGAAAGACACTTACAAGCATATGTTAGAAACGGCTCAAAAAACCATTGGTGATCTAAAGCAGTTTCCGAAACTAGCAAGAGACGGGCCGAAGAATATTAATTACGACGAGGTAAGCATAAGCCTCAAACAATTTTCAGAAATGCAACACATTTTTATTTCCAGCTGGAAGAGTCCAAGTCGAAAGTGGCTACTCTGGAACAACAAATCAGCTGTATGGAAGATGAACTATCAGAAGCCAGACTAGAATGTTCCAGGGTAAAAACAGAGTTGGTATCTGAACGGTCAACTTTCGAAGTAAAATTATCAGAAATGCATTCCAAAGTAAACGAATTAGAAGAGGAGAAAGTTCTGAGTAGCGGCAGGACGAAAATTGTAGGTTTAAGAACAAGAATGGAACTAGCGTGGCAAAAAGAAAGGGAAGAACAACAGAGATTGCTTCAAGAAACAGCCACATTAGCGAGAGATTTGAGGCAAACTCTATTTGAAGTTGAAAGAGAGAGAGATAAAGAACGATTAGAAGCAAAACGGAAGCAAGATCAGCTAAAAAAGACGTCCGAAGAAGACCAGGAATCGAATAAAAAGAAAATAACAGAACTGCAATGTGATCTCTTAGAACTAAGAGACGCTCATGCAAAACTAAGAACGACGAATGAGAAACTAAGGCGAGAAAGGGAACGGTACGATAAAGAAAGAGAGGAATATCGCTCTATGATGAACGGTAAAAAGAGAGTCGACTTAGAAGACGACAGAAAAATAAATGCTCTAATTGAACAAATGGATACACTCAAACAACTAGCTCCAGAATTATTCTTTTCAAAAGAAAGCGAAGCACCCTACACTCCAACGCCTCCTAGAAGAACCAAATCCAGATCTAGAGAAACTTCTCCATCTCTAGAACCCAGAGAATCTTCAATGGCGCCAGAAGAAAAAAAGCAGCAAGTTCAGTACATAATGCAACGACTGGTACACACCACCGAAGACCTAAGAAGGCTTCAAAGGTTTTCGGAAGATGACGCCGAGAGAGAGCGCATCAAAAGGACAATGGGAATGAGAAGAGCTACATCTACAGAACACGATACGTCTTTATCAAGAGGTCCACAGATGAGAAAATCGATTGGACTATCCCAAAGCAGTCTTAAAAGAAAAAGTATCTCCCTTGAGCATACTATTCAGACTGAGCAGAAAATTTGGACCAATGACAACAGTATGTCCAGCCTGAATTCCCTAGAACTGCATTCTGATGTCGAAACAAGTAGAGGTAGAAGAGATGCAAGCTTAGATAGTCGGTTATCTGGTGGGTCTACTCAGAGCGAACTGGGAGATAAGAAGAAAAAGAAAGGGTTGATTGGAAAGTTGAAGAAACTTACTAAATCTCGAAGCATAGATGATAAAGATCCTGATAATTTCTCTCCTATGAGGCCGCTAGGGTCCAAGGTATGTAGAATTTTTTTACTTACTTTTTAGTTCTTTTATAAGGAAAACTGTTTAATGCTTATGGTTTATATTTTAGGCGAACTCAGGTGATAGCATGGATGATGCCAAAGGAAGTAAAAAAGATTTGAAAGAAAGAATAACTGGTATATTTAAGAAGGCAGGTTCTAGTTCTAGGAGTAATAGGTAATTAAAATTAATTATAATTTTTAACAATCCGTTCAATTTTTAAATTATTTTTTTTTATTTTGGACAATCTATATATAATTGTTTTTTGTAAATTTTCTGGTCGATAATTAATAATCCATTTAAAAATTTTAGCGTCGAACGTGGTATTGAACGAAAGCATGAAACTAGTTCAACACAGAGACCATTGGTCAGAAATGGTAGCAATGGACATCTTACAGGCTCTAGTGTAAGTATGACTACAAAATAATAAACACTTCCGAAAAGTAAGCACCATTGATTCAACCTCCATATCCTCCAGATTTGACACCCTGCGATATATATTTAAGATGAACAACAAGTTATAACAGAAGAAGGAAACGCATCATCCTTGAGTATAAATGAGAACGGATTATGTATTTATATGTTACATTCAATACTCAAATTGGGGCACTGCCCAAAAAAATTGTACAAAACTGGTTTTATGCAACTAATATTTCCCGATCCTGAAATTTTACTTATATTGAGTCATTTTATAACATAAAAAATCTGCCTCCCCTTTTATTTCCTCTACTTGGCAGCATCCCACTTTTTTTTTAAATAGCAAGTGGGGTCCTGTGACACTTTGTTGGAAAGGTATTCAAAAATGTATCACACTTAATAATCTAAATCTAACCCTCTGTCTGTTAAAAGACAACTTAACTGTCAGTTCTCTTAAATACACCAGAGTTTCTGTTTTGGTGTTGCTGAAGTGGTGACATCAACATGGCACCAATCCATTTTAACACAAAAAATATATCACTGAGTGATTATGGATGATGAAGAATCGGCTGAGATGAGATAATAAGGATGTTGTGGTAGAACGTATATCAAGGGGAAGGAAAAGGTCACGTGTGGAGGTTGAAAACGGTTGGTTTTATAAAAGGAAAGACATTTAAAGAGAATTTTAATTTTTAGGATACAGAAACCTCGAAATCAAGATTACGAAGAAGCTGATACTGATTTCATTCGCGCAAAATAAGCAATAGTAAATAAATAATTTTCCATCTTTATAGGTGAGATGTTTTAGCCTTTAAGATTCGTATGATCGAGTGGTAAGATGAGTTATAAGTGGTTTCTAAAAAATAATCAATAAATCAAAAATAAAATATTTATATAAGTATAAAATTATATTTTATTTTAATACCTTTCTCTTTGAAACCCTTCCCGTTATGCAAATCAATATTCAATATAAATATATAACCAGGTGGTGGGTTGGCTTAGGCCCGTATTTATAAACAAAACTCGAACTTGGGTAAGTCGTCCTTGAACGAAAATCGAAGTTCGGTTATATCGCAGGAATTTAGAGATGGGTAGTAACAAATCCATAAATGTACATAACAGTTATAGATTTGCTAATATCCATCTCTAAATTCCAGTTTAACACCAGAACCACCTAGAACTTTAGTAACCGAACTTCGATTTTAGTTCAAGGACGACTTACCCAAGTCCGACTCAGGTAAGTTCTGTTTATAAATATGGTCCTTAGTGGTTATAGTCATGTCTTTGACATTGAAGGATCTCAGGTTCGAATCCCATCGATGACAGGATTTTTATTTTATTTAATTTAATGAATTAAATATTAATTTTAATGCATATGTAGGATTCCCCACTCAACCATTCACTGATGGGTTCTAATTAACAGTGGTGTTCCTAAAGCGGCGTTAGGAAACAGTCACAAAGTCTACACAGAACACGAGGCTATAATAACCACACAAAAAAATATATAACCCTAATAGACTGCAAAAAGTAGCACTCGTCCTTTTTGCTTGCTATTTGTAGTTGGATACAGAGGAGGAGGGTGGTATTATGTCCCGGTGGTGGCAGTCAATCGATCGATTTTTAGTTTTTGCTGGAAATGAAATATATGCTTTTAGTTCGCCCGGTTTTGCTACTTTCGGTGTAAGAATTTCGGCCATGTGATCGGATATTTACGTTCGGGATATAGCATCTTAAACGCCGTTTTTCTGACCTAGATGATATTGCATTTTTTTGTGACAGCAGAAGGATTGATATGCAAATCTTTAAATAGGTTTAAAATCGGAACCAAAAGTTTAATTGCTCTCAAAATGTTTGTACGGCTCTCAACTAAGAGCATTGATCTTTCAAGCAATTTTTATTCATAGTAGTTCAACCATTAAACCTTCTATGAGCCCCGGGTTTTCTAGAAGGAATGTCAAAATATTCTAATTTATGGCGAATGGGGTAGAACTACTGAATAAAAAATGCTTGCAAGGGCAATATACTCTTAGTTGATAGTGATACAAACACTTTTCGACTTTTGGTTCTGACTTTACACCTGTTTCAAGGTTACAATTTTGTTTATCATATCAAAACCACTTCATCGACAAAAAAAGTACCTACAATATCATCTTAGAGCCAGAAAAATACGTGTTTGACCTATATTTCCAATTAAGTTGAAAAACGTAAATATCCGGTCACGTGACCGAAATTCCTACACCGGAAATAGCAAAACTGGATGACTGAAAATGCAGAATTTTTTATTGTTATTGATGTCTAGAAGCATATATTTATTGCAAGCCAAAACGTAAAAAAAATTCACCGATGAGTAAGTTTACTTTAAATTTCACAAATCACATGATCGCTCCCACCACCGGGACATAGTACCATTATTGTCCACATATCCCCTCCCCCTAACCAACTACAAAATAGCAATCTAAAAACATACTGGGCCACGTTTTGCAGTCAATTAAGGGACTAATGTAAAGTGAAAGGTGAAAGGCTACGCAGTCATGAGCGGCGGGTTTTTTTTTAATAGGGTACAATATGTGCAAAAATATTATATAAAGGCAATCAATAACTAAACAAAGCGAATAAACAGAAACGCGTTATTAGCAACTTCAAAAATGAATGAGCCCCTTAATTTAAATGGCGTCTACCTTCAATCACTTTTGAGTCGAGCTTTGGGTGCGACCGACCCGTTGCACCCTGATGCATCCCCACCACTGTGTTTTGCCAATGCACAGTTGTCTCAACTTAAGAGTTTCAAATGTTTGTTGAAGGTTTTCTAACGTAATAGGATATTAGGAAAGCCTCAAGCAGCGGCATTTAAAATAAGTGGTAAGGACTAAGTTAAATCACGCCAGTAACATAGGTACCTACACGCCTATATACACCAAACGTAATTTGCTTACTTAAAAACATTTTTAGTAAATATAACAGTACGTGTAGTAAATATTTGCTCAACTTTATGTTTTATTAAAACTAGACCTAAATAAGTAGGCAATTTAAACTTTTTTCACCTCTTTTGCGACCGGTAAGTTGTGCTTGGGTTTTGCAGCTCCATTATCAAATTATGCTGTGTTTCAAGATCTGTAACAAACCGATATCTATAACATATATAAAATAATGTAAAAATACATACTTCAAAAACTGTTTAAGCTTGCTTTAGAACAGTTAATCACCAAAAACTAAACACGCGAATTTGAATTCAAATGCTGACGCCTTTTGCTAGTCGAAAATTTTCCAGAAGAAATCGTGGAACACAACATGCATGGAACGAAAAATCAGAATGCTGCGTTCCGAGACGTGTTCTGAAAATAGTTTATTCGTTTGATGGACACTGGCTAGTTTTAGGTATTGAAAAGAGATGCAATGCTATTTCGTTCGTTGAATTAAAGAAAAAAAAACGTGAATATCATTTTTGACTGAACGTCTTTCTTTTTGTTCCTCGATTCCAGTGAGAGTGAGTGAGTGAGTGAGTGTTTTGTGCTCGATCTCGATCCTATTCATATTTCTGTGATATTATAATATTGGATATTGAATGTTGGATGTAAAATATTAAAAGTACCTAATTTGTGAACATTTTGCATATTTCGCTAGAAAAAAAGGACTTAAAATTCATCGATCATTTTGGAAAACAATGAAAATTGTACGGGGAAATCATTGAAGTAAAACCGAAAACTTAGTGCTATGTAAAGTTATGGATTATCATTTTTAACCTACAAATAATGAATTTTATATACAATTTCTCTCTTTGTTAAATTCAAATATTTATATACTGTAAATTATTTTTTTGTGAATACTTGTAAATTTATGTGAAGGTGCTTCAATCAACTATAGCCATGGCAAGTGTATCATATCAAATCGCAAATCTTCTCGAAAAGGTAAAGATAGCTGTGGTCACTATTTTGACATTGTCATTTATATATTTTAATTTTATACACGCCAAAATGTATCTCCTTTCTATACTCGATTTTTTACAGATGACTTCTTCTGACAAAGATTTCAGATTTATGGCAACCAATGATTTAATGACTGAATTACAAAAAGATAGCATTAAACTTGATGATGACTCTGAACGAAAGGTAGTGCGAATGCTACTAAAGTTGCTTGAAGACAAAAACGGAGAGGTTCAAAATCTGGCTGTAAAATGGTGAGTAGCCTTTTATTAACTCTCATTGTGTATTTATTAACATACAAACATGTTCTAGCTTGGGACCTCTAGTTAACAAAGTGAAGGAATTCCAAGTAGAAACTATTGTAGAGTCACTTTGCACGAATATGGTTTCTGATAAAGAACAACTAAGAGATATCTCTAGTATTGGCCTCAAGACTGTTATAGCTGAGCTTCCACAAGCACCTGGTGGTTTATCGGGGAATATTTGCAAAAGGATCACTGGAAGATTAACCACAGCTATTGAAAGAGTAAGCAAATATATATAATGTAAACTAAACTTCTACTGCAAATTTTAATATTTTCATTAACTTAAAATATTTTTATTTAGTTAAATAATCACAATTTGCAATTCTATGGGTTGTTTTGATGACCTGGAGACTAATTTTTTGTCCTACAGATGTCCTGAGGATACTTCTCCAGTGAGAACACCTCTTCCACCTTTATTTATGTCTATTAGCCAATTTTTTTCCAATAGTGGTTGGAGTAGAGTGTTATTAATATGTGACTCCTATCTTCTCTGCTGAATTGTCTCTTGAACTGTTGCAATATGGAGGTCTTATGTGACATCTGGTTAGATACACACTAGGGAGTGTCTACTATTGCTAGCAAATTTTGGACTGAGCCCTTTGTATAAGATATATGTCCAAATTTGAATAATTACTGCTTATAATTGTATATTTGCACGCCCTATTTAATTTTTTTTTTCGCACACAAGTTGTAATGCTACAACTTTATGTGAATTAACGTTTATTTACTTCAGTGATTATTGTATTGTAAAAAAAAAATATGTTTTTTTTGAGTAAATAAACTATATTATTATTATTATTTATATATTAATATTTTAATTCTGATTTGCATTTTTGATCTTCTTTCTAGCAGCAAATATAAATCTTTCATTTTCAATTCTATTTATTTGTTTTTTATAATAAAAAAAATTAAAATATAATATAATTTACTTAGGGCCGATTCGACCGTTGTGTTAAACAAAGTTTAAATTACTAAGCAAAGATTAAAATTACATTTTTAGTGTAAAAATGTCATTTTAAACTTTTAAACAGCAAATTAACATTAACGATTATTTTGTAAGAATAAAACCTAATATTTTTATTACCAACCCTTATAATCTTTTAAAATCCTATTTTATTTTAAATGTTATATGTATTTAAAATGTAGTGTATTTTACCAGTATTCTATATGGATGTAACTATTTAAGGGATTAAATACTGATGTAAACATTTTATACAGTGAGCATCATAAGTCTTACCCCCCCTAACTAACTCGTTACTGGGGTCTTGTTAGGAAAATCGCCGAGACAGGTCGATTTTTGATTTCTACAATGTACATTTTTGTATGATTAGTTTACCCTTAATTTCACCCCTTACTGGAGGGTAGCAACCCTTTCGAAAAATTTAAATGGCATGGGGTGGTGAGTGATAGCTCATTTGAAAGGGGGTTTTATTCTCTATTCAACCATGCAAAAAATTTTGAAATTTGCTTCATTACGTGTTGATTTATTAATGTTTAAAAATAACAAAACCTCACAAAATAGGAAAGCAACTAGACTAACAGTGACTTTCTAGTGGCAAAAAGTCTTACTTCACGTCTGAACCAAAACCGAAATCATGCAGGGCCGAATTTTAATTCTAAGGATGAGTGCGCTACGTTAATTTCCGTTATTCTGAAACAACAATTAGTCGAGAATTAATGAAGCAAATTTCAATTTTTTTTACACGGTTGAATAGAGAATAAAACCCTCTTTCAAATGAGCTATCACTCACCACCCCATGCCATTTAAATTTTTCGAAAGGGTTGCTCCCCTCCAGTAAGGGATGAAATTAAGGGTATACTATTCATACCAAAATGTACATTGTAGAAATCAAAAATCGACGTGTCTCGGCGATTTTCCCAATAAGACTCCAGTAACGAGTTAGATAGGGGGGTAAGACTTATGGTGCTCACTGTATGTATTACTGAGAATACAGTATTTATATAATTTACAAAATATAATTGTGTTTTTTATAAAAACATCTTTAATTCAGCAAGAAGATGTATCTGTACAACTAGAAGCTCTGGATATAATTACAGACCTCTTACTCAGATTTGGTCCAGTATTGCAAGCCTTCCACGGATCTATCTTATCAGCCTTATTACCCCAGTTATGTTCCCAGCGTCAAGCTGTAAGAAAACGTACTATCAGTGCATGTAGCAACCTAGTATTATCCTGTAATAATGCACTTTACACAAAACTTATAGATCACTTATACAGTGGTCTTTGTTCAGATAATAACAATTCCCAAATAAGGACTTATGTACAATGTGTCGCTGCTGTTTGGTAAGTTTATATAACAAAAAAGTTAAAAAATTTGTAAATTATGGATTTCTATGTTTAGTCGCCAGTCAGGGCACAAATTCGGTGAACACATTGAAAAATTTGTACCTCTGATTTTGCAATGTAGCCAAGTTGATGATGATGAATTAAGGGAATTTTGTTTACAAGCCTTCGAGAGCTTTATAAATAGATGCCCTAAAGAAATCACCAAAAATATACCATCGGTAAGTAAAATTCGAGTTTAGAAACAAAGAAATCTCTCAAATAATATTGTAGATCATCATTTGGTGTTTAAAATACATGATGTATGACCCCAATTACAATTATGATGAAGATGAAAGTTCAAATGGACAAAATGATCCATATGATGACGATGAAGAAGATGAAGAAAATGATGAATACAGTGATGATGACGATATGAGTTGGAAAGTCAGAAGGTCTGCTGCCAAATGTCTCGAAGCTATTATTTCGACGAGGCACGATTTGTTGCCCCAATTTTACAAAGTTTTATCACCAGCCCTTATTGCCAGATTTAAAGGCAAGTGTGTCCAAAATTGTTTTCTTTCTGTATAAATATGATTACAATTCTTTCTTCTATTAGGAACTCAAAATATTCATGTCAATATATTTTTTTTATTAAAAATGTCGATTTTATGATGATCTGTACCATTTTTTAATCAGAAAATGGCCTTCTGTAAATTTTTCTTTATGATAGACTTCCTCATCAAAAGTACCCAATGCACAACTTAATTCTGTTTGTTTTAAAGACTAATTAACTTCATTATTTTTAATTGATTTTGCGAAGTTAACTAGGGTAATACCATCTGCAATATAGGCAGATATTTGCTTGAACATAGGCTGGTAGGTCAATAATGTAAGTCAAAAAGAATATTGGTCCAAAGATTGAATCTTGTGGTACACCTATCTCTACAGGTTTTGCAGTAGAGATTTCACCGTTTGGTAGACTGACTAATGGTTGAAAAAGTTTAATATATCACCTCTTATCTCATAAAATTATAGTTTATCTAAGAAAATTTACAATCAAATGCCTTATTTAAGTCTCATTAAGTAGTTGATGGATTATTTTATTATCATTTTCTTAAAAAATATGTTCTAGTGCATTTATAATTGCTGTTATTAATTTTTTGTTCTATAGCCATGGTCGGAGAATTTATTTATTTTGTTTAAAGAAATATTTTTTGATAAAATTGATAATAGTGATATTTGTCTAAAATTGGAGGCATCGCTAAGCTTTTTAATTTTTTGGAATAGGTACGACTTTTAAAAATTTTTATTCATATTTATGAAAAAATATGTTAATATAATTGAAAGTTTTCCATAAGCCGACTATCTGGTCATTTAAAAAGAAAATAATATTTGACAGAAGGCCATTTTCCTCAAAAAAACCTGCATTATAACCTTAACATTTCTCCTCAGAACGGGAAGAAAATGTAAAATCAGACATTTTCCACGCCTACATCGCGCTTTTAAAACAGACCAGATCAACGGTCAATGTAAACATGGATCCCAACGCGATGGTAATGGACGATGAGGAAGAAACACCGATGTCCCTTCTCCAGCAACAAATCGAGCTTCTCGTAAAAGGTGTACAGGGTCAGATGCGCGAAAAGAGCATCAAAACTAGACAAGATTGTTTCCAGTTGTTGAAGGAAGTGTGTTCGGTACTTCCCGGCGCTCTGAGTACTCACATCGGCGATTTAATACCAGGAATATTATATTCTTTGAGCGAGAAAAACGCGAGCAGCAACATGAAAATAGATGCTTTATCGTTTATATATTGCCTGTTAACAAGTCACCCACCACAAGTTTTCCATCCATACATTAGCATCCTTCTCCCACCAGTCATAGCCGCAGTGGGCGACAACTTCTATAAAATAACCGCAGAAGCGTTGAACGTGTTACAAGAACTAGTGAAAGTTATTAGACCTCTAAACATCAATTCTGGTTTCGATTTTACACCATTTACCAAAGATATTTATAGTTGTACTTTAGTAAGACTTAGAACAGCTGATATCGATCAAGAAGTTAAAGAGAAAGCTATATCTACAATGGGGCAGGTCATTTGTAACTTGGGTGATCACTTGAAAGCTGAATTACCATATTGCCTGCCCTTGTTCCTGGACAGACTGAAAAACGAGATCACTAGACTTACCACTGTTAAAGCCCTCACCAAAATCGCTGGCTCGCCTTTAGGTAAGTTACTTTGAGGTATCATCTAAATCAGGCATGAGCACCGACTTCAAAAAAAAAGGAGGAGATTCTTAATTCCTCTATATATTTTTTTATGTATGTTTGGGCATAACTTCTTTGTTTATTAAATGTTTCTTTTTACATTGGGTTTAGTACAGTACCAAAGTGGTCCCATTTCAATTTCATTGGTATTTGACCTTGAACTTCGAATATACACCAGGAACTTCTCAATCAAATAGGAAATGTGTAGTGATTGAGGTATGAAAGGTTTATGACAATTCCATAACAACTATGGTCAAGGACGGACTGGACTTAGACTACGAAGGCACACATTGGAACGCCTTAACAACAAACATCACGAATGTGTATATTTAGTTATTGTGGGTATCATGGCTAACTATACATGAATCAAATTAGCATGTTCTTTCTCTGTTTCGCTTATTAGTCGTTTGCGAATTAAACTAAGTCGATGAGAATGGTGTTCAATTATCACGTATCATACTAAAACGATGGTATCGATCTTGAGTTTTGTTTTCTAATTTATTAAACACATAAGCTCTCATACCCAACAATCTATTTTCGCGCTCGTGGACTTTCATTCATAATTGTTTCATTATTTCGGATTTTATTTTTTTTTCTCATATTTTCTGTCTTTCATCTTCTATTTCAACTACCCGTCGTTTTCTCACTCGAGAAGCATCCTTACTAAGTCTACCCATCACTTAAAATTGTAAAATTAACTTTTTTTAAAACCGACGAAAAAACAAAAGTAACATAAGTTAACTAAAAAGCAAAATATAAATGTTTTTATATAAAATTTGATTAAATTGTTTTATGTAAAAACGTTTATTTTTTGCTTTTTAGTTAACTTATGTTAATTTTGTGTTTTTTGCAGTCTTTTTTAAGTTCATTATTGTGGAGAACCGAATAGAAAAATTTAATGTGGACCACGTTGCTCATGCCTGATCAATCTTCTAAAGCACTGTTACAAATATTTACATTATTTGGCTTCATTAAAAAGCTAAAATAATGATTATTATTTAAACAGTGAAAGCAAACACCTACCTTTAAAACCCGTCGGACTTAATAAATCATCAATTTCTAGGTATTGAATTGCCGATATTACCGGATGCAATGCCTATCCTTGGATTATTCTTGCGAAAGAATCAAAGAGCTCTTAAATTAACTACCCTCCAGCTCATTGACTGTTTGATTAAAAATTACCATGAAGATCTGAGCGTAACTCTACTAGGACCTGTTGTAGTAGAAATATCACCTTTGCTTGACGAGTCTGATCTTCATATAGCTCAATGGACACTGATTATACTGAAAAGTATCGCGATGTATCATCCAAGAGCTTTGCAAGATATAAATAATACTATAATGCCTCAAGTATTGGTTTTAGTTAAATCTCCGCTACTGCAGGGTAAGTTTTTTGTTCATTTTTCCTAAAATATACTCAAAAAACGGACTTATGTTTTTGCTACCTGTAAATTTTTATTTTGCTTATTTATGATTCTTTTAAATAGAAATGTCACCTGTATACAAAATATATTATTTAAATAAACTTACAGCATGTTTTTAAATATAAAAGTCTTATTATTTAACTTTAATACAATATTTATTTGAATTTATTTGCAATTTAAATTTTGATATTTAAGTTTTTTAACACCTTTCAATAGAATTGATATTAATTCTAAACTATTATAATTTTGAATGTTTTGACAAAAATGTTTAATTTATTAAACGACAATGTAATTCTGACTTCGTTCGTTCTAAATTAATATTTTCTATCCCAAATCGAACATATTTAACATTTACAGATGTTAATTGTAAAGTTTTCTCTTTCAGTTGCTCCTGTGTACGACGATACAATATTTGATTTATTTTTACATCTACCCTGTGTGACCAACCGAAAATTACCCTTTTCACGTCTACCCTGTGTCACCAACAACCGAAAATTTTCCTAAGTCCTCACTTCTCACAGCCCAATTCCTCAATTTTTCGTTGTACGTATTTTGTACGTCAATTTTTTAACCTTCCTGGCTATTGGGTGTATTTTATAACATAACTAATGGTGGATTTTATTTGTTGCACTGTTACACTCGACACTGTATTCGAACTGTCATACTTGTCAGAAGTATATGCTACACGTGTGCTACAGTTCAATATTTGAAGCTACACTGAACAAATCAAATGCGATTAGTGCAGAAAACTTACACCTAGCGCAACAAATAAAATCCCCTATAAGAGTGTACAGTGTATATCTTTAAAAAGTAGTAAATTGGCAATTCAAGTTTTTCTGTGAAATTACTTTACTGTTTCTTGCATTTACGTTTTTTTTTTGTATTTCAATTCCAAAGGTCTAAAAAAGTCGACATTTTCAAGAAAAAGTAATAATCAAAAATTAAATGGGTAATTCTGAGAGTGTCGGCTTAGGAAAGTTTGTATTTCTCATCAAATAATGGGAAAACTACTTTCTACATGTTGCTTCTTTCTGCATTTTTAATCAAATTTATCCATAGGAAACATTACCTGGGACTTTTTTTTTGAAGATGGCTGGCAGTAGTCTTAAACACAAAGAACTGCATATATCTATAATATAAGGAAAAGTGCTTGAAACATCAGTAAAGTCCTAATCTAATTTGAATCGCCAATACCTTAACACCCGTTAGCCATACGGTTAAAATCGCCTGGTTCAATGAATTATATTTCTTTTAGGTACGGCCTTACAGTCTATGTTAGACTTTTTTAAATCTTTAGTAAAATGCAACCTTCCTGGTTTAAATTACGATTCTTTGTTACGACTGTTGTTAATGCCCATTTCAAGTCTCGGTAATAACCAATCTACAACTCTACACAAACAAGCTTTCTATTCGTTGGCGAAGTGCGTGGCTGCCATCACAGTCACTTGTCATTCGCACGCGTTGCCTGTAGTTCTCACGTTTATAAACGAAATCCAAGCAGCGGCGACCGATTCTCAACAAATATTCGCTTTGCTGGTTGTCGGCGAAATTGGAAGAGAAATGTAAGTTTTTTTTTCTTTTATTATTATATTTACATTTGGGTTAAAATTCTGTCAAATATTTTGAACCCCATATGTGGCGAGGTAGAATATTAGACAGAAATCATAGGTAGCTTTGCTCTTTTTTTCAGTGATTTGACTTCGAATACAAATTTAAAACAGGTTATACTTAACTCATTTTCGGCTGTGTCAGAAGAAGTGAAATCGGCTGCCAGTTACGCCTTGGGCAGCATTTGCATCGGCAATCTACAACAATACTTACCTTTCATTTTAAAAGAAAGCCAAGATCAACCTAAAAGACAATATCTCCTCTTGCACTCTCTTAAAGAAGTACGTATAGCTTTACTATTGCCAAAAAAGAAATTCTGCCAGCATTAATCATTCTTTCAGGTCATCACGTGTCTTTCACAGACACCAGAAGGTATTCAGCAACTTCTACCGTTCGTCCCGGCGATTTGGCAACAACTATATCGACATTGTGAATGCGTAGAAGAGGGTACTAGGAACGTTGTAGCGGAATGTCTCGGAAAATTAACACTTATAGATCCAACAAACCTTTTACCAAAGCTGAAACGTTCCTTGAACTCCCCCTCGCCTCTAATGAGGACCACCGTCGTGACGGCTGTCAAATTTACCATTTCAGATCAAGTAAGCCATGAATCTCAATCTTTCTACAAAGGCTTTGAAAGAAATTTATGTTTCTAATTGTATCAACTTTACAGCCTGCTTCCATTGACCCGCTGCTGAGACAGTGTATCGGCGAATTCCTGAATACCTTACAAGATCCTGATCTAAATGTCAGGAGGGTGGCTTTGGTAGCATTCAATTCAGCTGCTCATAATAAGCCATCGCTTATTAGAGATCTACTTGATACCACTCTGCCTCAACTATATGGAGAAACTATCATCAAAGTAAGTACTTTTTTTCTTTGTAAATGGCACTGGTATGAAACCAAAAGGTCAAAGCTTTGTTAGTAATTAAACATTAACGATTGTATTTATACAGGGTCCCTGCAGTATTGATATTTCTTAAACGGTAACAGATAGAAAATTGGTTAAATTAGACAAAAGTTGCGCAGTTTTGTGCTCATTAAAATGGTGTCAAAAAACCTTTGGTTTCTACAGGGAGATTCAAACTATCGGACAAAAAATGAATAAATTTAAAGAAATGACAATTTTTATTTTTTGTTCGATGTTTTAAATCTCCTTGTAGATATCAAAGGCTTCTTGGTACCATTTTAATGAGCACAAAACTGCGCAACTTTTGCCTAATTTAACCAACTTTCGATCTGTTACCGTTTAAGAAATAGCAATACTGCCCTGTGAAATAGTAGGGACCTCATATAGTCAAGGACATTTTTTACTCTTAAGGTAATTAAATTGACCTATCTTTTTTATATAAATTTTACAATCAACCCATCGATCTAGGTTCTTCAGCCAGTAAAATTTGTATGGTATGTGTTAGTATTTACATGCTATATGCGTAAGATGACAGGAATATTAAAATACTTAAAAAAAAAATAAAAATAAATTCTATGTCACTAATTATTGTTCATCGGCAAATTTGTTCAAGATTTCTGTGATTGTTCTCACTGGCTATTTAAATTTTGTCCCAATTTGGTGTTGAATGGGCCAAATTATTCAGATTATTTAAATGTTTGAGTTATTTTGTGGCAATATTTCCTAAATCATATAATTTAATTTGAAAATCTTTTAAATTACGTTTGATTAATATACCTGACAATGGTACAGGGACAACTCATGCATATTGCACATGCCGATAAATACACTATTCTGCACAGAGACGCGTTTTTAAGCACAGTAGATTTCAATTTCTGCTTAAATGTTCTATTTATGTTGTGCTTTCTATACTTTTCTGTAACTTCGATATTCGTGATTCATATTAATTTTCCTGCACTGTTTTTGATGAGCTGATTTGTTTTTAAGTAGGCAAGAGTTGTCATACAGGTTTTTTTTTTAGAGAGATTTAATAAGAGAAGTGGAAATGGGACCTTTCAAACACACTGTAGACGATGGTTTGGACATAAGAAAAGCAGCTTATGAGTGCATGTACACTCTCCTCGATTCTTGTCTCGACAAAGTTGACATTTTCGAATTCATTAACCACGTAGAAACAGGTTTAAAAGATCATTATGATATAAAAATGCTGACCTACCTAATGGTTGCGAGATTATCGCAGATTTGCCCTGGAGCCGTTTTTCAAAGTAGGATTTTATTTTTTGTATTTGTATATTTGAGATCATATTTTGGGGAAATACTGTCTGTTATAAAGTTTTTTTTTTTTAATTTTGATTCCATTAATCTCCTTTTTTGACCCAATATGGCCAATAATCAATGTAAATTCAGGTACATCGGTCACAAAAAGTATTGCACAAGTGGATTGTGACTGAAAGTATTTATTATTATCTCCTAAAACTTTTTGGAAATTACTAGTAATGAAACTTAGGAATGTGTAACAGTGATCTATTTGATTAAAATTAAAAATCAAAGAATAACTTGCAAAAATAATTATAATAACAATTATTCTACAAAAATGAAAAAATACAAAGGAACAAAATTATGCGATGCTTTTTAAAAATTCAAGAATAATTGGCAAAAATAATGAAAATTAGTATTATTCTACAAAAATTAAAAAAGTACATAGTAACAAAATTTTGCGATACTTTTTATGACGAGTATACTTTAATCGAATAATTTTAATTTTTAGTGTTAGATAAATTAGTAGAACCCTTAAGAGCTACGCTGACCATGAAGGTTAAGGCGAATTCTGTCAAACAGGAATACGAAAAACAAGACGAACTTAAAAGATCGGCTATGAGAGCTGTAGCTGCGCTTTTAAGCATATCAGATGCAGGTAATAAATGTTTTTATCATCATATATATTATTCATGTAATTTTTTTTCTATTAGCCTGTACCGGCAAATAATATAATAACAATAATTATTTATTCACAGATAAAGAACAAGCATTTACATTAGTTGTGAATAAAAAATGATAATAATCCTACGAAACACAAAAGTATTTGTTTGTTAAGTTGGCTCATTAGTGCGAGGAAGTCTCCTATAAGAAAATGAGAAATTGTTTTAAATAAAAGTTATAGGGTTTACTTTTTTGCATGTTTCTAAAAATACTGTGAAATATACAGGGTGGTTCGTTACATCGGGGCAGCGTAGTGGTTGTGTTCTTTACTGTATTCCCGAGTGTTTAAATGTGAGATTCGTCATCAGACTTTTACTTTTAAAAAATGTAGTAGGAATTCTTTATTTCACATGTTCCCGAAAAGGCTGCCCAATAAAAAACTTATTGCCATGCACAGCTTTCTTTCACAGTTAAATTGTAGCTTGTTGATCACCTTATAGACATTCGTGTGTTTGTAGTTTCTAAATAGTTCTTACAACGAATGTAATTTTTTTTTTATTTTAATTGATATGTTGAAAATTATAAAGATAAAAGAAACATTGGACTTCCATGCACTAATGGGTCATCCTGTATACAAAAAAAAGTTCAGAATATAATTATACATATAACTATGACTTGTTACTCTATTTTAAAACATAATCACATACTTATACAAAAACATAAAACAATAGTAACTTTTTATATCTATAAGCGAGACATATAGGATTTTATGTGATAAATATAAATTTAAAAGTAAAAAAAAAAAACAAAAATGGAAAAATATACATCAGTATAGGCATAGGCATTAAGTCTTTTAAAGGTTTTAATATATTTTCTTATTTTAAGTTAACAGACAAGTAATGGAAAAATGTTGTTCCTAAGAAACTAGCTTCTTTGACCCTTGGATTTATTCATAAAAGGAACTAGATATTGACTATATCCTCTAATATATGGATAATATTTATGTATTCCAGTTTATTTGTGAACTGAGTTGTGGCAGTGCCTAAAATTTTTGTTTCAAAATAACGTAATTGTTTAGATATTCACCAAATACATAAAATTATGACTATTGCTTCCAATTATATACAGAATGAAATTTTGTTAACTACTATCACATCTATCTATAGCAATCTCATATGAACAAATAAGCTATCAAAAATCAAATTCCTGGCAACTGGTCGGTTAAATTAGTAGTACCTTATTCCTTATCCTGCCAATACTAGCAAATAACTTTTGCAAGATGGTACCTATACCACATATTACTGGGTCCTGATTTTTTTTATTAAAATATAATGATATAATCTTTGGTTTATTATTTTTTTTTTTTTAGATAAAAATCCACACCTTAACGAGTTCGTTAGCCAAATCAAGAATTCTCCTGATCTTTCACCAATTTTTGAATCGGTTCAAAAGGATTCATCCATCACCCATAGCGACTGTCTTCTAATGGATCAAAGTTAAATAAATTAATAAATAACATAACACTGTAATTTTATAACGTGAAGTTCATTGTGTAGATGCGAGATTATTATACATTTGTTCTACAAATAAAAAAACCTAATAAAATGTTTTATTTCGACAATGATTTTCATTTTTTGCCACCTTCAATGAGAAATAAATGATCTGAAAATTCATTAGCCGAATTCCACTACACTTAGACCTTATTTGATACATTTAACATCTCCTCCATGGAAAAATTGACGTACTCTTGGATCATAAATCAATGTAGTGTTATTTTACCAGTTGTTATAGGGTTAGTCAACGTGAGAAGGGTTCCACAGTACTTCCTGTTTTTGATAACCTATAAAATTGAATTTTAGTTCATCCTTTCCTACATACAATCTTTAACCTTCATATTGTATCCATTATCGCAAGAGTGTTCAGCTAAATAATATAACCAACCATAGTTTTATTTTATTTTCTAAATTAAGTTGGTCTAGTGGGAAAGAACGTGCGATATGGCCACGAACAGTTGGATCATTTGTACCAATCACAGTTAAAGAATCGTAAACAGAAACGTGACGAGACCCTACAATAATATGAAGAATATATTGCCAGGTTGGTGTGATTTACCTACCCATCAGCGCCAGAAAACATGATGGAATGTTTGTTGATGGACTCTGTGACCACGAAATGCAGAAAACACTCCATCTACCCTGTCACAAAACATTGGTAGATGTCTTGTCCGCTGCTCTAGAGTATGAGTCAGCTACGCATGCTTCTGGTGGATACAGTAAAGTGAGGACTGTACAAGAGAAAGATACACTTCACTGGTTAACATGATAAAGAGTCTTACTGATAAAAGATGAAGACGAGGACCATCGGGAGTTGGAATTGCGGTAACCTGGGGGCATATATGCAGTTCGTGCAAACGCCCTAGGGTCACAACAAATGAAGACAAGACAACACTCCGCAGTAAAACTAGAGCGGGTCGTTGTAGAGGGGGGCAGCTTTGACTCGAAACCGTTCCAAAGACCCTCTAATACTGGTAGCCTCTTTTAAATGTCGCGATGATAGTGCACGTAAACGGCGAAGTAAATGGTAAAAATTATACATTCTTGGTGGATACTGGCACAACTAGGACCATTATACGACCAACAGCCATAAATAACCGCAAGAAACTTTGATGGATTTAATTCAAAGCCGGAGCGTAATTATCAAGGACATCACTCGTATCTCTGTTTTTGTCGGTTATGGCCTACTTTAGAAATATTTTTTGTAGATCTTCTATGAGTTTACTAGAGTGAAGAAGAGATTCTATTCATCATATTATGCAAAAAACATATTTTTTCTACACCCATATGGATATTAGCTTATCTACGCACAGACTACAAAACGAAAAAGTATGTCATTGCGTTCAACTGAACGAATATATTTCATATCCATTCTAGGTAGTGAGAACACTGCAAAAAAAATGAAATCCACCAATCACAGTTCATATTTTTGACATCCAACTACTATTATTTTTAAAATTTTAAATAAGTGACAATCCTGTCAAACTAATTGTCATTATATTTGTTAATTATTAAGATTCGATAGAATCGATAAATAATTGTAAATAATAGCATTTTTATTTGAACCATATTTAAAAAAAAAATAAATTTTAATCAAACTATATGGAAACTATACGAGTATTAAAACCAAAATCGTGAAAGTGGCTGTAGAGTGCCTGACTAATTTTTTTTTCACATTTATATTATTTTAAAAATCAGTAAAATGTATAAATTGTTTTATGTTTTAAAATTAATTATTTTGTCTTAATAACATAAATTTTCTTTTTAATTTGTAGATTTCCGTTAGTGGGTCGTAGAACAAAAATACTGTACAACTCGAGTGGATTGATTGTCCATATCGCACTCAGATTCTAGAGCAGTCCGCCTACGGCGTCGTGCCCAAATTTCGTCTTCGTGTAGGGCCGCCGAGAGCCAGGCCGGGCCCCAGGACAATTCTCTAGATCGGGCCCCTTGACAATTTTATATATATATAAAAAAAAAAAGTATCCTACCTAAATTGTGCCGAACTTGGATACCGTTGCCGGGCCCGCATTTGAGTCCGGGCCCCGGGAATTAGTCCCGGCTGCCCCTCTAGTCAGCCCTGTCTTCGTGCGATATGGCCATCATATCCACTCTTGTTGCACAAACTACTATTGTCTACAAATTTTATCAATTAGTAATGCACGCGCCATCTGTGAGTTAAACAACTAGTTATGATATCGAATCGTTTTTAAAACTAGATTTCTGTACAGTTGCATGGATTTCATTTGTATTGAATCTAAATAAATTGCCAAAAGATGGCGCTGCAATAAAATCAACTTCTGAAAAAAAAAATAAATAATAATATATTGAAAAAAGAATAATTATTATGAGTTATTTTTTAATGACAATTATTCACTTAGAAAGATCTTGTTTAATTTTTTTCGAAACCATATACTTTTGTAAAAATTAAATGTACAAAAATTGTAAAAATAAACTTTGATACAAATTGGAAAGTGAATCTTACTTTTAAATCGTTATATTAATATATTGTCCGATATTTAAAGTTATTTAGCTGTAAAAATAGAATCTTTTCGACAAAGGAAATTTGAATTTGCTTAGTGACTTTTTGGTTTGAAGGTTACTTACCAGAAAAAGTAATTGTCAGTTGGTAGCAGCGCGAATGGACAGTTTGGCATTTTGTGATGTGAGGATTTTTGTTGAAAGTTTTTTTTAATGGAATAATACACAAATTCTCTAAAGTAATTGATGTCATTTAGAAGCTTTTGCAATAGAAACCCGAAATATAGAGAAATAGATTGGTGTGCGATGCCATGGAGGCCCAGAGTAGTCTGTATGCGTCTCTTCAAATTTGGTTAAAAGATGAAAATAAAAAATGATGGAATGCAAATAAAAACATTAGAACATATGTGATGTGAAACATAATTTAGTGGTATTAAAATAAAAGGAATGACTATAAATAAATAGTGTTGATCTCAATAAGGGCTAAGATTATAATACTGGAAAAAGACTTGTTATGTGAATGGTGGAAGTGATAGTGCAGCATGAAAGGAAAGGGTATGTGATAAAAGTGCGAAATGATCAAGGAAAAAGCCGAAAAAAGTTCGGATACAACAAAAGATGAGGCTGGCAGTTCAGATAAGGAAACTGCTAGTTCAGAAGTTCGAGTCAAAAAAGAGGATGAGGCTACTGTTAAGAAGGAACCCTGTGCAGGTACTATCACCAAAAATGGGAGTATTGTCGGTTCAACGAATACAGGTTCCTTACAAACAACTTTGGATAGAAAACCTGAGGTTCACTCAGAGGACTCTTTAAGTGTTCCTGGTCCTGACACCAGTTCACTGCCCCTGAAACAAGAAGAATGCATTGATGGTGAACTTGGAGGTGATGCATTTGGACTGGGGTTGCCTACTACTGGAGGCAGTACACATCCTCCACCTCCAGAAGGAGTGCAACCCCTAGCAAGTAATGTTATTAACAAACAGCCCAACTCAATGGAAGTTAATTATATGCAACAGCAGAGTCAGATCTTTGTGTTTTCAACCAGCTTAGCCAACTCAGGTGCCGACGAAGTCTTACAAGGTAGATATCCATCAATAATAGCTTACCATTGTGCCCAACCTGGTACCAAGAAGTATTTAGAAAAGAATCCCCTAAAAGTAACTCAATTTAATAGACAGAATCCTGCACAGTGGCTTAACAACATTGCCATGATGAAAAATAAAAGTTGTACAAGGAGTCCAGGTCTGGGGCCAAAACCTCCAACTACTTTAGATAATTTTTTGGGACCTGACCCTTTAGATGATATGGTTGGCTTGGATGAGGCAAACATACCCTGGGATACAAAAAATAATCACCTAGAAGGTCTCGATGCTGCTGTTTCTAATGGATTACCTGATGTGGTGCCTGATATGGATGCTTGCAGTCCTTCCTTAGCAAATGTTCAGCCCTCATTGCAGGGTGTTAAAGTGCCTGATGAGAATCTCACTCCTCAACAGAGGCAACACCGTGAAGTACAACTGGCTACAATAAGGAAAATGCAACAAATGCTGTTTCCAGAGAGCCAAAGTATAGACGGCGTTCCCACTGGAGCAGGGGGAGCGCCCCCTGGTGGAAACCCTCCTGGTAATACCACCCCATCTGATCCAAACCTTCCTCCAGGGGTGCCCCCACCCGGTGGCCAAATGGAATGGCAGAAACTACACCATCAATTCTATGATGACCCCAAAAGGAAACAAGGTCCTGGTCCTGTTGTTCCAGTAGGCCCAGTGAGCAGTGGTAACAGCAATAATCCTTCAATGCCCCCTAATATACCACCAGGAGGACCAGGGGGAATGCCTAGAGGCATTCCTGGATCAGGACCAAGACTTCAAGGGCCTCCTCCCCCATATCATCAAACTCCTCGTTCAGCCAGTGTTCCAATAGCATTACAAAGTCCCAATCCAACATCGCCCAACAATCCTACAAGTAATTTATCTCTACCATCACCCAGAGCATCCTCAGCTCTTAATTCACCTGCTGATCCAAACAGGACGTTTGGATTGAGTAGGCATATGAGTACTGGACAAAGCCCTACCTCACAAGACTCCCCTTCTGCACCAAGACTTAATCACAGTAATCCTAGCACACCCCTATCATCACATCATCTTTCTCCTAGTGTCACTAGCACTAGTACTGAGCCGACCTCTACCCATCAATCTACAGGTGAGTTCATCAATGTTGTATATTTATAATATCTCTAATTTTAAAGATTTTTAATTTTTTATGTATCAAATCCTTTGCCTATTTGAGAAATATAATTTTTATAGTTTGTTCATAGGACAATTTTTAACACACAAAAATGAAGGCATTTATTACCAAAATATTAACTTTTGAGGGCTTTATTGATTATAATAATTTTCAAGTTATATAAATGATTCTAAGTCTATAAATCAATTTAAAACACATCTAATAGATTATTTATTTAAAAAATATATAAATATATTGTTATTAAACTTAATTACACTGGTTGATTTTATACTGTCTCATAATTTGTATTTTTCTTTTCTTTTTCATAGCATGTTATACTCGTGTAAATTTTAACTCTTGTATATATTAGGTTAATCCTACATTCAATAAAGATTATAAGTTTTGATAAAATCTAAGGTAAACTTTGTTGTATTCAAAGAAATCTATACCTACTTATCTTTATAGGCCTTTTACATATTGTTATATCTATCCCAGTAAAAAAGCAATCCTCGCACATTCATTTTCAAATGTTCAGTCTGTTACTGTTCTTTATTTTCGACTTTTTAATATTTCTGAATCAAATTTTACAACTGTTTTACTAGGTTGTCTATACAAAAGAATACAAGCAGCATTCAGCGTGTTAAACATTCATTCATGCATAAAGTTTTTTTTTTAAATACTGGCTATAATTACAAATACTGTTTGTATACTTTCAAATTTTACATGGTTCAGTATTATAGATAGATTTATTTATTTTAGAGGCTTTTTGGGTTTACAGTTTTCAAAAATAAATGAGTAAAATATATGTCATTCCTAAACTGCAAATTTTTGGTGTTTTTCATTAAATATTTTGTGAAATAGAATGTTATCTGAAATTCATAAATTATTAAGTTATCAAATTTTTATTGGCATTAATCACATTAACCTGTTAATTTTGTAATCATAAGATAATGTCTGATCTATCATAGAACTGTGTATGATCATAAACATTACAAAAATGTGAGCTCAGAATTTATATATTATTTCGCTGTGTTGCTAATAAAAATACATATTATATTTTCAGTAAAATATCTGTCCCAAATTATCTTATTGTTTCATATTTAAAGAAATCGTTTTATATTATAAACAAGCACAAACATATTGTTTATGATTTTAAGGCTGTGTCTACCTGAACGCCCAAATTTGCATTTTTAAAATATCTTCTCTACTCAGTGTTGAATTGTGGTAATTTTTTCCAGTAGATGGAATGTTTGGAAGAACGTTGCAGTCTATGGCGCAACAGAAGCAACAGATCAGCACTTCAACAACTTCTTGTGCCACAACACCAAGTACAGGCATAGTTAAGGAGCCCAATCTGATGCCTGTACCTTCCCCTCAACAAATACAGTATCTCAACACATTTGAAGGACAGGAACTGATCATTCAGAAACAGCCAAATACCAGCCTCAAGGAAGGCAATATCATATCACCTCCGTAAGTCATTTTTAATTTTTTTTTGTTTTTGCTTGGATTTTATTATATTTTTTTTACAGTAATGCTTTATAGCAAACTTTGAAGCTTTGTTAATTTTTTTGGATTGTCTTTGTTGCTTTTTTGTTTATTTTTATTAAGTAGATGGGAAGAGAAAATTGGCACACCCTGTATGTCACAAATTAGATACAAACAGCTTTTGTCTACCTGTTTTTGCAGGTTTTCAAATTATAATAGCAATCGTTTGGCAGCATTGAAACGATTATAATATACGGTCTTTTTATCTTTTATTTTCCCGGCTTTATGGTAATATAGCCACTCCTTATTGAGATTCTAGTGATGACGCACGTTGTTCCTGATAATATATATTTTTTAATCTTGTTGGAATTGAACTACTAACTGTCCAAATAACTGCATTTCAAAATATGTTTAACTACACTGTACTTAGTGTTTTTTTTTTTTAATGTCCATTCAATCATATTTTTATTCTATTAATTTCTAACTAGGTGGTCTGTAGTCTAAATTATGCCTGTTGTGCATTTCAACTACATACAGTGTGAAAACTGCTTAATAGCAATTTTGTAGTGTATAAATTTCAAAAAAATTAAAAACTCTTCAGGTACTTATCAAAAACTAATTATTCATTATTCACATTCAAATCGTCTTCATCAACTGGCTTAACATTATATAATTTGCTCAGTAGGTAGATCAGTAAAAAAGTCCAATGATGTCAGGTCTGGTGACCTAGCAGGCTTCAATCTCTTAAGATTTTTTTTGTTTGAAGTCCACAAAGGTAAGTATCATGTACCGCGGACGTCCTCTGCTAAAGTAGAGAGCTTGTTAATGAAGGTCTTAATAATAGATTGGGTATTGCCAACTTAGTGATGAAATAATTGAAGTATCTATATGACAACATAGTTGTGAATTATATGCATAAAGTGTCGTAAGTGCTGCAGCTCCCCAAATGTATGTGCAGTATTTTGAATTAGGACTTATTTGAGCCTTATATACTGCCAGGAGTTTTGATGAGGTAAAATATTTCACCACTCTAAACAGGAATATCAATTTCTTACCAACCAATTGCAGTGATTATATCAATTATAGATGTTTCTAAAGCACCAACTTGTAAATTGTTAAAATAACGTGATTTCATATAATGAACTCTATGTTGTATAATATTAAAAATATACAGGGTGGCCCATTAGTGCGCGGAATTTTAATATCTCTTATAAGAAATATGAGAAAATGTTTTAAATAAAAGTTGTAGGGTTTACTTTTTTGCATATTTCTAAAATACAGCGAAATATATAGGGTGTTCCGTTATAAATATTAAAAAAAATCTTTGTTATTGAGAGTTAAAGTAAAATATTTGGTAAATACTTATAATAAGGGTTAACTGAAACGTCTGAGAGGATTAAAAGTTTAATTTTTTGAATAGGCGATTTTATACATTGGCAACCCTTGCTAATCTTTAAATATATAAAACTTTTCACTATTTCTTATTATAATAAAGGCCCTAACAGTGATAGCTTTTGATATATTTTTATTTTAATTGATAAATTAAAAATAATAGCGCACTAATGGTCCACCCTGTATACAGGGTGGCTCACGCCCAACGGGACGGAGCTTTATGGGAAAAGGACCAAAGATATAAAAAATTCGTTTGGGAGGAATACGTAGGTTACAGACGGCTACAATTTAAAATTTGTTAGATGTATACAGTATACAGTAAAAAATTAGTTCATTAAAAATTATTCAAACAAGAGTAAACAATTAATTTCTGGGAGACTTTTTTCCTTAAAAATTCAAATAAATCGAAAACTAATAATAGTAATAGGGAACCTTTAGTTAACTGACATTATTTTTGATGTAGTTTTTAATTCTAAAATAAAAAACAGGGTGTTCCATTAAAAATAATATAACTTTGTATATTTTCTCTTATGTGGGACATCCTGTATACATCTAACAAATTTTAAATTGTAGCCGTCTGTAACCTACGTATTCCTCCCAAACGAATGTTTTATATCTTTGGTCGTTTTCCCATAAAGCTCCGTCCCGTTGAGCGTGAGCCACCCTGTATATATAGGTACGGTATAAAGCCCTGAAGAAAAATTCAATAATGTCTACTAGCAAACTACAATGTTTATTCTAAAAATAAACAAATTATTATTCTAATAATGATTTATTTATTTAGCTGCTTCTTTAATTTAACATCATTTTGTAGGTATGTAAACATTTTGAGCTACAGCCTTAAAATAATAATTGCATACTTTTATGCTCCCTAATTTTTATATTAAATGAATTCACACATAAAACTAGTTTTGTTGTTTAATTTACAAGATTAAATTTGTTCTATTTATATATTTTAAGTCTAAACATGTTCACAAAAATAGAACTATTTCAATACTACTAGGATCTACTTAAGGTTTCCAACAGCTATAGATAATTTATATTGTGAAATTTTTCTGCTTACACTAAAGCATGTTAGAAAAATTGCGCAATATTTTAATCCATGTATACAGGGTGATTCCGAAATGTCAATAACAGCTTTGTTTCATATTTATTTGATTTATATAAAATTTACAAAATTTAATTTTAAAAATTTTAAGGAAAAAATATTCGCTTTAAAACCGTAACAAATCAATTAGTTCTTCATCTATCTTAATTCTTTCAATTGTTTTCTAAGGAAGATTGGATTTGAAAAAAAGTGATTATATCTGTGTAGATTAGAAGTAATATAAAACCAATTAGCTTAAAAATTAGGTGTGCAGAAATGTTTTTGGTGTAATTTTTTTGTGGGAATTCTTATCTGGAAAAAGTAAATACTGGGTGTACCAACGATAACTTTACCTTCCAGAATCTCTAAATTAAAAAAAAAGCCGTCAACCTTTATTGGGAAGGTGTTAAATTGTCTTATAAAATTAATAGGAAGAAATCCAACTCCCTGGAGCCTGGTAGCAACCCTCTTATTTTTTAACAGCAAGTAACATCATTTGAAAGGTAATAATAAAAGCACTTTATTGGTTACATATAGACTTTACAACCAAATGCTCATTGACCTAGGTCTTTTGGTGAGTACAATTTGTATAGTATGTCACTAATTTACTTATTGTTCATCAGAACTTTCATTGAAGATTTTTATTAATTGTTCTCACTAGCTATTTAAACCTTACTTATCTAATTTGACGTTGAATCGAAAAAATGTTTATTATTAGCATTTGATTGTTTAATTTCTTCGAAAATGTTTTAGACAGTTTTCTGTTTCTTTCCAGGATAAGTTGAATATTGATTTTTTTTTAAGAGATATTCATTATCTGGGTGGTGTGTCGGATTTCCTGGATGTTACATCTTGGTAATGATTATCACTGTAGAAGTTTTACCCACTTGGACGTTTTATAATGCAGGTCTTCAGTAGTTTAAGTAGATAATGTATCCGTATTCCAGGAGAAGTCTACATATTGTTTTGTAGATTTTAATGGAGTGTAGTTTTTTGTATGTTAAGGAACGGAAATGTTAGACTCTGGCTTTGATTTTGTTTTTGCCTGCAGGTATGTTCATTGAAGTTCAGCTTATTATCAAGAATTAGGCCTAGGTATTTCACTGAGGATATGGGATTAATTGGTTGGTTAGATATGATGAGTGTAGGGGATGCCGGTTTTAGCTCATGATATGGTATCATTAATTGACATTTTTGTGGGTTAACTTGTGTTCTCAGTTTGTTGAGCCACTTCGTTGGATTGATTTTGTAGTGCTGTAATGGTTTGAGTGTATTTCCATGAGATATCAAACCTGTGTCATGCGAGTATTAGAGGGTATAATTTACTGCATTAGGGTGTGACAGACTTGAGGAAAAATCAAAGCAATATATGTTGTATAGAAGCGGAGGGAGTGGCGACCCTTGCGCTGCACCTTGATTTGCAATAAAACTTGGAGATGTGTGGTTGTTTATTTTAACATTTAGAGTTCTGTTTTGAAGGAAGTTTTTAATAACACGTAAGACCATAAGGCACCTTAAGAAGTTTTAATTTAAATATGAGGCCGTTGTGCCAGACCTATCAAAGGCTCTTTTAATGTCCGACAGAAGAATGACAGATTTGTTATTATTCAATTTTGTTGTTTGCACTTTATAAACTAGCAGTGGAGATTTGTTCTCTAAACTCAAATTTATCTTTGATGAGTTTTTGAAAGGTAATTTTATGGAGAATTCAACAATATATAACTATTAATTTGTTGCTTTTAATTTTTGGCGCCCTGTAGCGGGATATACAAAACTGTTACGTAAAATGTGAAGTGTGAAAGCTAATTTTATGTAATACATAGCATACATTAGATATTTTAGCTGATTGCGATTATAGTTTGTATTTCTTAACTTTAGAGATCTGCACGATTTTTCGATTATTTAAGTTTATGTTTCATTAAATTATATTTTGTTATATTGTGCATTAAATTTCTAATCAAATTAGCTTTCAAATGAAGTGTCACACTTGCATTACATAACAGTTTTTGTCCCGCTAATAAAGGGTGCTAAAATAAATAAAATTATTTTTTTTTAAATATTGAATTGCTGATGGGAATTCCAAGGGGTTTGATTTCTGGTTATTAATTTTATTACTAAGAGGGAAGTTTTGTAATCGTGAAAAAGTCACTATCTGTCTGTTGGCGCGATAGCTCAAAAACGGCTTTAGAGAAAAACTTTGTATACAGATAAGGTTCCTTTCTGGCTCAAAACCAGTTATACTTCTGGTCAGGGCCACCGAGAGCCAGGTTGTGCCCCGCGACAATTTTATACAAAAATTAGGCACTTTCAATATCACATTTCTAAAAAAAAAGTTCTTCAAGCAAAAACTTATCTTTAGTGAAATCTCTAAAAAAAAGGTCCTCTTACAAAAATAAATACCAACCTTTCCCAAGCTGCCGAGCCCCCCTTATGCCGTTGCCGGGGCCCTACTTGAGCCCGGGCTCCGGGAATTGGTTTCGGCTACCCCCCCTCTTGTCGGCCCTGCTTTAAAAATTCAAAATGGCGTTAAAATGAATCTTAATTAATCAAAAAAATTCCCCGTGAATGGAAATAATAAAAAGCGTCCTTTTGCTTTGTATAACTGGACCTTTTTAAAAGCAGCCAATCATTATTGTTCAATAACAGTGAATGTGACGAAGAATACCGAGCGGACGCGAAGTGAGATTTCGGGTGGGATCAACAGGAAGATCGATGGAGAGAGAAATGAGAAAAAGGGTTTTTGGTTTGGTGGTTTTAATTTTAAATTATTAATATTAAAGTGCTTACGAGTTCTCTGCTTCTGCAATTTCTATATCGAGGCAAGTTCTGGGTAAAATACTTCACCAATTTTTTTGAAAAACTATTTTTCTGACTTTCTGAGGATCATGTTATCGTTGGTACATCCTGTATGGATAGCTACATTGGAAGTAATATACGACAAGAACAAGGTGCTTGATTATCAATAAAAGATTAATGTCAATAGAAAATTTTAAAATTCCATGTATAAAATTTTTTTAATAGTGCCAAGTGGGTGCTTAAAATGTTTACAGTATCTTAAATTGCGGATGCGTAAATTCGGCAAAATGTGATTTTCTATCTGCCTAAGGCGTTTTTGGAAACCTACGATAGATTACAAGATCCAGAATACTGGTTTTATCCGACGGATCACGTGAATCACTGAACTTAGTGCTGAGAGTTTGCTTAGTTTTTTTTATTCTTTGTGTAAAAGTGAATTTTTTGTATACACTTTGTAACACTACGATAATTTGTAGCTACTTTCGTGGTAAAAGATTATCCTCTATTTTTTTTTTTTTGTAAAATAAATGTGTCTTTTTAATCCTAAAGTTTTCCCTTAGAAATTTCTGCAAAGAACGAATAATGTTGCGTTGATTAGGATATCTAGTAGATTACTCCAAAATACTTAGTTTCCTAGATTTCATCTAAATGAAACGAGCTTGTTTTTAGAAACAAAAAACATCAGGCTTACGTTTTTATTCTACTTCTATATCTTCGGAAATATATCTCATTGATAAACGTCGTTTATATTTCTTTATACAAAATTATTGACATCCTTATCGCTAGGAGTGGCTATACAACCGCAAATTTAACAAAACCGAATACATTTTTTAGTATGTTAAACTAAAATTGTACTTCGTTATTTTCACGTTTACAGCGGTTCTTACACGAAAACTTAACACTGGTAAACGAATGAAGGATCTTAGAATTTATTCTAGTACATGCTAAGCTTGGCGTCCTTTCAGACGATGTTTCAATGGTGGATTTAGGGAGAATTGAAATAGCTGGGAAAGGTAGGGGGAGGAGAATGTCTGTGTCGTCAAGAGTCTATATCTGACTTAAAACCTACACATTCGTAGAGCGCCGAGGGTTGTACTCGGAAGTTCCAAGGGACACATTTCTCAATTTCGTAGGGGAATTGGGGATTATATTTCCAAAAATTATGTTCATTGATTTTTTTTTTTTACAGCGTTTTACCCACGACGATGGACAGTGGTTTTCCTGTTTCTGCGCCAGATCTTCCACACTCTAGAGTCTCAGGTCCCAACACACCCACATCAATGGATGTGGGCCCAAGATTTCCCCCTACCCCTTCAGAGGGTTGTCGCTTCCAGATACCCAGTCCTCACACGCCCACTGCAGCGACAGTAGGTAAGAATCGATAAAAAATGTTCATCAACCATTTTACGTTTACAAAATCACTTTTAATTTCTACAGCTTTATCTTAATTTATTATATAAAATCTAGATTATATGGCATCAATCGTCGATTTATATATTTTACCATACATACAAATGTTCTTTAAACCTGATTGTATTGATCTTGTTGTCATATGTATTTTCTAATGGATCGATTTCCTGGACGGATGGATTTCCAAATATGTGTCAAAAAGCTATGTATTTTTATGTTAGTGGAATAGGCTCTTCAAAAGAGTTGTTTAAATTCTTCTATCAAGCTTATTAGCTTTAATGTCATCATCATATCTATATTGACAGTTTCATTGTAGTGGCGTGACGCCATCCTTTTGTTTTTAACTTATCTAAAGGTTCTCAAATGTTTAAAAGGATTAATCATACATCATAATCACAGTTGTGAGTCACAATTAGGTATTTTTGATTATTGCATGATCTTTTTGTCTCTAGAGAATCAAGATAATGGCCGAAATATAATAATGTACATACATGTAAGAATATGTAAGTGGTATTGTTAAAGTGTGCAGCAAGTAAATTACTGTTACTTTCAAAAGGCTTTCAAGGTATTTTAATAATTTTTTTAACGTTGCTCTAAAAATGTTTTTATGATCCCAACTTTTTTTGAAGTGTAACATTTAGCTAAGAACGGAACGCCACTGGAATAATACATTAATTTCAAAACTATTTTGTCTCTTAGTATTTGTTTGTGAAATTCTTAATTTAGAAGATAGAGCCAAAATATTCAATTTAATATTTATATTTTCATGAATATCAAAAACATGTTTATTATTAAATAATTTATAAAGTAAGGTTTCATAATTTAATTCAAGTTTTGTACAGAGGTAAATAAAAGGTTCAGTCGTCCTGTTTTTGAATCCGAAATTTGAGAATTTAATTAATTAATAATTTATTAATGATAATTTAATTTATCATACCAATCTTTTTGGGACACCATGTATAATTAGTTTCATTATACAGAAAATATATACTTGCTGCTGACAATGGCAATGCCGCTTAATGCTGCAATCATGTAACAAATCTTAAGTAGATTTAATTTTAGGTGACAAGCCATCTCAAAGACTTCCCGGCGCTGGAGCGCCCGGTCTAAGTCCGCAAACGGTCCCCGGTCCGAACTCAGACCCCCTCAAAACTGACCTGTTTCCAACTCCCAGTCCTCACATGATGGACGTGCCGCGGTTTACAGGACCAAACGCTTCTCCGGGTGCTAAAATGGGAGGAGGTTTCGTCAATTTATCGCCCCAAGGAAAACCCCTAGACCTGCCCAACTACGGATGCGTCAGAGGTGACAACGTTCCTTTGAATCCGAACTGCACAAGTACAATGCCCGGGAACCCCAAGGTGTCCCACTTCGACCCGATATCTTCCTTAGCACAAATGAGTCAACAGTTAACTAACAGCGTAGCGAGTTCGTTGAATGGTCAGAGCAATCAGGGCCCTCCGATGATGAGCTTCGGATCTTCTTCCATGCATATGATGGACATGGGCGCTTGCCATGGAATGAACGACATGGATCAAGGATCTGCGAATATGATGGGCATGCCGATGCAAGGGCCTCCGCACGGTTTCCACCCGAACTCACCTATGGGCCCCATTCGCTCTCTTTCGCCTAAACTGCAAGGTGCCTTTCCAAATCATATGCCTATGCCTAGGATGATGGGACGCCCCCCGGGGCCTCCAAATCCTTACAACGGAGCCAACGTTCAAGTCAAGCCTAACGCACCAAATACAATACAGTATTTACCAGCCAAGCCCCAAGTGGGACAAGCCCCAGGACCAAGAGGGCCTCCCAGTTTGGATTTCTTGACACGGCTCGCCACACCAATGAGCATGATGGACTCCAAAATGCAACCACAGAACATGCAATTTTTCTCAGGTTGTGGCCCTAATAATGGTCCCATGCAAGGCGGTCCGATGCCCCCGCACATGGGACACATGGAAGGACCCGGAATGCCCCAAGATGGAGGCATGGGTCCGATGAGTATGGGTAGCCACATGGGAAACGGTCCAGGACCGATGGGTGGAAATATGGGCATGCCAGGCGGTATGATGCCTATGATGCGAGGGCCGATGAGACCTCCCATGGGCATGCGCATGCCCCAAATGGTATTCAACGGCCCTCCAGGTCCGGGCGGCGTCCCGGAGCCCATGTTTAATCCCGGCCCCAATATGGGCAACCCATCCGCGCAAGTGTTCGTCAGCGGTCCTAAAGGCAGCCCAATGGGAATGGGCGCCCCGGACGCGTCTCAACCCTTACCGCCGTCGATGGGGCAAAACAATAGCTTTAAAAACTCACCGTTCGTCTGTCCCACAACTGCCGATCCCAACTATGCACAACAGTTCCACAACTTCCAGCAACAGCTGTACGCCACCGGTACGCGCAACCAGATGGGCGGACAAGCGATGGGGCCCGGGCCGGGACCCCCACACATGCAGCAGCCTCCATACTACAATCCCAAATAGCGAATGTGGTGCTGAGTGTATGAATCAGAGTAATTTGTTTTATTTTTGATATTACTAATGAGTAATCCGGCAATAATAGAATGTGAGATTGAGTTGTATATTAAGTGTTAAGCATCGAATTCAAGTGCAGTTAAAGGTCATGTAAAAAGTTTAAAGTCGCCTGCCTAAAGGCCCAGTTCGCCTAAAATACTTAATGCTATTCTGGATTTGTATATTTGCCATAAATCAACTAGAAAGACTTAGTAATAATATTAAGTGTTGGACTTGCTTAGTCCTTTTAAAGACGGAAGACGGAGGTTTCACTATTGCTCATTAATTTGTTTCTATCCTGTTATTCGTTTATTGTACATTTTATGAGTAATCAATTGAAAATGATAACAATAAAATTCTATATTATATATTCTGATCTATTATTACTGACAGTAGTTCGTGCTTCAACTAGTCAAAATTAATTGTTTTCATCATCAACTGACTGAGGACCCAACCAACATATTTTTCGCTTACAGTGAATTTACATTATTTAGTACCTACTGGAATGTTTAAGTTTTTGTACAACTTGTACCTATACAATTATTTGTTTTTATTATCATTTATATATAAATTACATTGATTTTGACTTTTAATTTAACAAACGACCATCTCGATGCTTTTGACGCCCACTTTTTTTTAATACATTTTTTTTAGTTTTGTTCCTACTTACAAATATTTAACGTTTTTAAATTTAGAATGTATTCAAATAAGAATTAGCTTAATTTATTCTTCATTGCCATTCTTGTCAAATATGATTTACTGGTACTTTATACTCATGATACAAAAAATAGGTGTTATTTAGCTGACGAAATCGTGCATGAAAATTTATTTTCGCCCGTTTTCGATCAGCTGATACGTCAAATTCGTAAAAGCACATTACGTCACCATGATATACCTTGTTTTTATAGTATCATACTTCATACCCATCAGTTGCCTTACTTGATATTTAGATCCTGTGAAATACCTATAATTTGCTTGTTAATTATGGTTAACCAATATTTAATATTTGTCAGTTCTGTTGTCATTTATTTGTGGTTAGCTGACCCTTAATATCAGTCAGTTTTCTTAATTGACATTTCGAGGGCCACAAGACAGAACCTTGTAAGTCACAAAATCAACATTTTTCACAAGATGAAAAAATGATTCACAAGTGCATAGAACAATCCATTTTACTCTATAATTGGACTAATATTTACCCATCTTTTGTTCAAAAATTGTAATACTTCCCCTATACAGTAGATGGAGCGAAATGTTTTAAACCAGATAATCAAAGTATAATTTTCAGTGGAAATGTTAGTAACAAGCTCCTGCGCTATGGCCCCCGAATTATGTCTTACTAGCACTTAATACCCATCAGTTGTCTAATTGATATTTAAGTCTTGTTAATTATGGTTAACTGGCACTTAATAATTGAAGACCTTGGCTTAATAAGGTTACATACCACAATAAGTAAGTTTTGAGAGGTAAAATAATTTGTATGTGGCTAGTTTCTCTTGTTTTGAGCTAAAACAGTCACTTCACAACAAATTGTGGTTTGCATCCTTTTCACACCAAGGGCTCCATTTCATTTCTCTTGATTTAGATTTTTGTCATTTGTCTTTAGTTTTTGTAGTTATTTTGAGTATTTTTTACAGGGATTAATGAACACAAATTTAGTTTGGAGGTGTACTAATTATATCATTGAGGGTAAGAAAATGAAACTCCAATTCCTTTGAATGAGTTTTGATAATAAATTAAATCATGCGATGAGTGGTTAATTTGAAATTTCCAATTATCCAGTCCTCTATATTTAGTAGTTTCCCAAAGAGGGCCATCAAAAGATAAATTAACCTGTTCATTGAAGACAAAGTTTATTTATATGAAGGTAAGTTTTTGTATGTACAACTCGCTGGTTATGGCTAAACATTTAATAAGTTAACCTTTAAAATAATGAAATATCCACCAAACTGATTGTTGATAAAGTCGATACAGATTCGAGGATAATCTAGTAAGTCCTTAGAAAATCCAAGAGATGGCGTTTGCAGCATAAAAATAGTTTGCTTTTTTTAAGTATCATTAAACAGTATCACTAATCATCTGACAATGTCTCAGTTATATCCATCACATGATTCCATTTTTATTGTCAATTGAAGCAAGAAACTTTGTTTATTTAGAAAAATTCACAGGTGCAGTTTCCTTTGCTAAAATCCTGGAATTTAAGTTCGAATTGTTACAACATCCACCTTATTTACCAGATTTTGTCTCCAGTGACTTCATTAGTTTCAAACTTTAAAAAATGGCTCCGAACAACGGTTCGCGTCGAACAAATCATCGCCAAACGAACAGATGCCTATTTTCCAAAATCTTACTTTTTAGATAGCTTAAAAGAGTTTAAGAAACGTTTGGAAAAGTGTATAAAGATTATGTTGAAAAATAAAAAAAAAAATACCTAAAATCATTTCTTTTTAAGAACCCTCGTATATTTCACTTTTGGTTGCTTTTACATCAATTCATACAAATTTATGGTAATGCTTAATTAGTTTTGATTAATATCATTCTCAAAAATAATAGATAGATTTTTAAACCGATTTATACCTACCTAGTAACTTCAATATTAAAATTATTAATTTCAGAGACACCCGGTATACCAATTATAAAATATCTGTTAGAAGGTTGTATGTATTTATAAGGTAATGAAAACCAAATAAAAAATTTAAAATGAGATTGTTTAACTGGTTCTTGAAATTAAATGCAAGATGCAGGTCATTGATCGTGAGTTATATACCTACCTCTTTCCCCCAACGTCCCTGTAGAACGGCGACAACAAGTAATAGGTTATTAAAGGTCATATTTAATTTTTAGAGATTTGTACACTTTGACAAAGAAGTTGAAAAGTAATAAATTCTAATAATAAGGCGTTAATAGTCTATAAATGTATCTTATATTAGAAATAAAATATGTACATTTAGTTCAATAAATGCCACAGTAGGTACAAAACGAGTGTCTCTAATAAAGGACTCATTTTTAAAGAGCGGTAAATTTAAATTTCAGTTTTGACTTATGAATTGTACATATTCATCTCCAAAAACAATGGTATATACATACCTATTACATAGGAAAATGTTTCAAATCCTCTAATTTTCGTATTATTATCAGTTCAAAGTGACTCAATGGTACAAAAAAATGCTTCGAAAGAAGTCGAATCCAATACGCTTGCTGAAATATGAGTTCCATGAGCGCAAGTTGATCAAGCACATACGAACTTGTAGGGGCGATCGGTTATTCAGGGGTTTGGAGTAGAGCATTTTAGGATTTTTTTTTTAAGGTCAAGCATAATCTGTCATGCTTGTAATTTATGCTAAAAATTTTTCGATGATTATGCTTGTTAATAATGCGTAGAGTAGTTACTGGTCGGAAAAATCGAAAGCGTTATATTTGGAATCAACAGTAACAGTGTGAACGGAGTTCGAATAAACGATCGCATCAAATTAAAATGTGTTTTGTGACAAAATTTGCGTTGCCTAGAGAATGCGCATTCAGCTGTTTTTATAATTAAGAATTTCAATTTTGAACTTATTTAATATTGTGTTTGTGAATATAAACTAAATTAAATAAAATGTCCGGTGAAAACCCTTCGAGGAAAATAAAGAGATTTTCCGAATCGGATAGGAGTTCCGATTTTGATGCTGCCACTCAAAAAGCCCTAGAAGAAATTGATGTTTGTCAAAACGAAATTGATACAATAAATGAAAAATCCAGTGAAGAGATACTTAAAATTGAACAAAAGTACAACCAACTGAGGAAGCCTTTCTATGAAAAGAGGAATAACTTGATAAGCAACATTCCTAATTTTTGGATTACGGCCGTATCCTTTTAACATAAACACAAAAATTTGTTGAGCATAACCTACAAATATTCTCAAACATTTTTCTTAACTATTCTTCAGATAATGAACCATCCTGATCTAAACGCACTATTGGATGACACCGAGGAAGATTGCCTCCACCATCTGACACGACTGGAAGTAGAGGAATTCGAAGATATCAAGTCTGGCTACTGGATCAAATTTTATTTTGAGGAGAATCCATATTTTGAAAACTCCGTCATTACCAAGGAATATCATTTAGACTGTAGTAAGAAATAATAGTATCAATTATAATGTTCGTGTATGATTTGGGAGTATTTGGCTTTGATTGCAATGTTTTTGAACCTTTTTATCATAATAATGCCTTTCTTCCTATGGTTGTTCTTTTTAACAGCCTTGTTATTTTATTTACAATTGTTAGTAGATATATTACATTTTTAATCAAATGTTTCTATTATACTCATAATGTTTTCTTTTAAATATTAATTAGCTGGTATAGATATATTTTTTTAAATTCCAATTTGTTAGTACAAATTTTTAAAAAATTAAACCACAAATTAACATTGCGTTGAACAAATAGTGACTTGTTTTCTGTGAGGAGTTTAAGTATGGCCAAGTGAAAATAGATACTTTTGTGTTAATTAATTTGCATTTATTTAATAAAGAGACTTGTATTGTTTTTACACTTATAATGAAGGAATCATTCATGGCCTGTTTCACAAACAGCTAAGTCATAAAAATAATACTTACAAAAGTGTAATTTTTTAAAATTGATAATTTATGTTGAACTAACTGATTTAAAATTAACTTTAAACTAAGTGACTATGCTACAGAGTTGTTTGGAAACGGCCTCAAGGTATAATTAAAAAATCAAGGGATTGAATCTGATTCCTTTCACCTTAAAAGATGTATATTCATACTAATATCCCTTAATAACAAGTAAAAAAATTATTACCAAGTATTGAATGGATGACTTATATTTACAACTAAAAACATATTGAAAAGAATAAGAACATGGGTATTTTTTAATACCTACTATTTTGTCTCTATTATTTACATCATTAATTATCATACTAATTGGTATACAATTAATTAACATACTAATTGGTTAAAAATCATGAATTTTTATTTAATTTTTCTATAATTATTTGCTGAACATGAATTCAGATGAGCAATCTCCTTGTTCATATTAATATCCTGCAGAGAACCTTGCTTACCTAAAATACACAATTGTTAATACATAAGGCAACAAAATTATTTTAATTCACTTTGCCTGTTAAAAACTGCTTGGTAGACTTTCTTATTTGATTTTGGTGTCCAACAAATCATTTAGTATAAGTACATGTAACCTACGTTTTCTTATTTGAACTGATAAATCATTTAAATGTGTTTCATGTAGCAATTATTAGCTTCTCTTGGTAAGGCAAAATATTAATAAATCTCTATCATATCTGCTGCCACAATTTAGAATCATTCAAGTCACTGGCATGATGCAAATACTTTACTAAAATCATAATAAACAAATTAATTGTTAATAATATATTTGACATATCTTCTAATTAAACGAGCAGCTTCAGTTAGAGGGGTAAAACTAATCACTAAACAATATTTCTGTTTTAAATCCACCCTCAAAAGTACAAAGTTTCTGTTATTTAAGCTAATGAACATAAACTACTTTTTTAAAAGTAAACAACAAAATTTTGTGTGCCATCAGGCAACTATATTGGATTTTTTTGACAAGACATAATGCATAAAGTATTGTGTTCATCACATTTTTATATTGGTATCTAGTGCATTTTTTGCTCCATCTTAAGGTAGTTCACTCGTAAAACGGCTTTTCTTAAGAATTCAATAAAATTTAAATATAAGGTTCATGAAAGTGTCGTTTACGTAACTAAAAAAAATTAGATTTTTTGACCGTCTGTGAAACGAGATATTAACAATCAAAATGTGCATAATTAACACTCTTAAAGCCTATCATGTACACAAGCAATGCATTTATTTCAAGATATCTCGAAAACGGTTCTTACCATATTTTTTTAAAAACTAATGTTAAATAAATCAAGGAGTTATAAAATTTTATAAATAATCGCTGAATTTTTTGACCGTCTTAGTAAAAAGATATAGATTTTTAAAATAAAAATATTTTTAATGCAGTTGACGAGTATTTTCGTAAAATTATTACAACTTGGCAACATTGTAGCCACTTCACGTAACAAAGTAACACTTGATCAGCTAAGAGGTTGTTATAAATTCGCGACGTGTTCTTGAAAAATTAATTCGTCCACTGTGTTTGAGAACTGGAATCAGTGGTTCTGTTTGAACCAAAACATACCCTTAAAATTAGTATGGGGAAGTCACAAATTTCTATACCATATCGTTTAAATATAAAATGTCCATATGTGTTTTATATACATGTGTTTTGTACAGTCTCTTACAAAAATAAAATTGATTAGCATTGAGAATCTCGAACTTTTGGTATTCACCATTACGATTTTTATGTACGACTGTCGCGAGTGAACTACCTTAAACAACTCTACAGTGTAAATTTGTATTTTAAGCTACCCCAACATCCAAGAGCACTCAAATAATCTGGAAAGAGGGTTGTAATCTGGGTCAGACCCTGGAAGCAAATCGTTCCAGCAGAAAGCGCCGTCACGAACCATCAAAGACGTTTTTTGGTTGGTTCAATGATAATGTAGATCCCTACACTGACGATATCGCTGAGGTCATCAAGGACGATCTCTGGCTCAATCCCCTGCAGTATTACTTGGTGCCTGATGCTGATGGCGATGAGAACGGCGTCGAAGGTGATGACACCAGCAGCGAAGACAATGAGGGATAATTTTTCACTCAATTAAATCTAAGTTAACTGTTCTCTTACAAAAAAACTTATATATTTATCTTACGCGTTCAGCACTGGCGTGGAAAAAACTTTTTTGTACCCTCCAAATAAATAATCATTTTAATAAATATATATAATTATATTAAAATATATGCTCGGGGCCTGCGTCACACTGTCTAAAAAGATTATTAAACATTCTTGGATCATGTTTATGTCTACTTAAGACGATACCATATGGAAAACTTTTTTATTATTAGTTTTATGCAAAATAAGTTGTTCTTCATAAAAAGTTCTGCTAAAATACAAACATTAGATATCAAATTTTTTTAGTCATGTACAAGGTTTGTCAAAAAATATAAATTTTATGCAACAGTAAAGTTTATTTTTAACAATATTGAAAATTATTAAGAAAGTTGACCAGAATTGAAAACTACGGTCACATATCCATTTCTTGTATTTTATAAATTTTAACTCGTGTTTTGACATTTACTGTCAAAGATTTGTCAGTGCATCCTAAACTAAATATCACTTTTATTTATTTTATAAATTCCAACTAGTGTTTAATTGTCTTTAATTTGTTTTTCAATGTATTCTAGAATAAATATCAATGAGTTAGTATCTGTTTTTTCATGGTTGGATATCTGATCGTAGTGTTTAATTCTGATCAATTTTTCTTAATAACAATTTTCGATATTGTTAAAAGGTAGGTACTTTACTCTTGCATAAAAGTCATATTTTTTGGCATATCTTGTACGTGACTGATTTTTTTTTATAGCTGATGGTTGTATTTTGGGTTTTAGACCATGTAGAACTTTTTATAAAGAATAACTTTTTGATAAAACTAATAATAAAAACGTTTCGTATTTTGTGCCTACTTAAGTAGACACATTGTTTATACGTTTGAGACTCAAAAGTAGGAGTCTGCTGTGAGACAGACATGGCTTACCAGGTCCGGCAATACCCTATCTAAACGTGACACAAGTGTGCATCCCCCGGTGCTGAACTTGTTAATGTTTTGTTACTGTTTTGATTTGTTTATTGTTTATTTTGAAATTAATAATCCTTATTTGGATAAACTGATATGCATTTTGCACTGAAACAATTAATTGTTACCAGTGATTTATAAATATCTAGTGTTCTTGCAATTGCACATAAAGTTGGATCTTAAAAATCCAATGTAGACCTCAAATTTGGGTTTGGCATTGTTTATCAGTTTATCGCAATGAAAAAAATTCCTGACACTTCCACACATACATACATAGTTACCATTTAATATTAATTTGAGAATCTCCAGATGTATACTATCAAATAAGTTGAATGAGTAGGTAATTTAATAATACACAAAAATTACATTATTGCTTTTTTATTTTTGTTGCATTCACAAAAGAGATGAAATATGTTCAATATTATCCAAAAACATTGTGTAACCAAATTTATAGTGACAAATCTAAAGGGAATGATTTTGCCGGCTCAATCTGCAAATGTAGTAAGTCCTAAATGGTAAATTTTACAGGAAATTCAAAAAGTTCCTATACGTTGGTATATTATTTTTTTTATACCAAAACATTCTAGATGTTTAAACATATACAGTAAACCAAATTATGGAAAATAATTAACAAAATTAGTTTATTGCTTTTTGGAAATTATTTTTAAAAACTCATTGGACTTTTAACATTTTTGATTTTAAAATAGTAATTAAAGCATAAAAATCATAATTAGCCAAAATTAAACAACTTAAAAAGTAAATTTTTTCACAAATTTGCAAGATGTGCAAGAGAACATCTTTATTATTTATAAAAAAAGTTACTATTGTTTGAAAGGCAAATAGTCTTAAAATGAGTGACATTTTTTAAATTAGCTTTAAAACTAAAGGTCTTCATACTTTGTTTTTGTTTAATTATGGACATTTGCATGTTAAGCTGACTATTTGTATTTTTGGGTAAAATTACTCTAAAGTTAACAAATAAAAGCTCGACCTATCCAAATTCTTTGTTGCAACTCTGAAGTACGCAGTATACATTAAAAATCACATAATTATGGTTGGTATAATGTATTACCCATTTTTACGTGATTATTATTATTTGTAGAAACATTTGGAAGATATTTTTTTATTTCTAAACTGACTACATTTAATTTAATGGTTTAACAAGTAGATTTTATTGCTCAATACCATTCTGAAAATTTACAGTGCCGTGTTACATTATAACATGTTTTCTGTCGCCACTTACAAGTTTTCTCTTAAATTTTTATGGTTATTTTATTTTCTGTTCGGTACAGCTACGAAAGAGACATTATTTTATTTGATAAAATTTTTATAAAAGTAGTTGAAATATTATAAATTTTATCATATTCCATTAAACAAACGCATAAACGACAGAGTTATCAACAATTATTTGTTTTAATTCAGCTCTTAGTTTTTATGGATTACTACTGAGCTTTTAATTTTTTTTTTTTTTTAATTATATACAGTGGTTGATCAGAATGGAAATAATTGAATCGGTGAGTTCGAAAACCGTACAAGTCCAAAATTTTACCTTTTCAAGTAAGATAGCCACTTTGTTGAAAATTTGTCTCTTCATCGATGGAGCTTAAAAACCGTACTAGATACCTATCCGTTAACGTAATACAGCTGATTACACCCGTGAAATTAGGCGAAAAACCGTACATAATCGTGACTCGTTAAAAGGTTTTTATTGTTTTTCTCGGAAGGTTTATTTTGGACATGTACGGTTTTCACCGATTCAATTGTGAAGTTACAGATGTTGGTACTGGTGATTACAGTAACTCAAGTGCTATGAATACCTTATATTTTTAATAACTAAATAAATCTACCAGTTTTATAATATCAAGATTTTTCATATTGAAAATACGAAAATGTTAGTTAAAATTAGGTGTGTACGTATTTTTAAATAAATGGGTGAAAGTCATGTCTTTTATTCTATCAACTCCAATATTATACCTATATAAAATGTTGATTCCTTTTTGATAGCTATTTGTGAAACCAGTTACATAAAACGGCATTTCTTAAAGTACCTATTACTTATAATTTTTTTTTCTAAATTTGATTAGATTATAAAATTGTGTTTTGGTATAAAATTACCAACATCTAAGCAATCAATATTACTACTTTCTTGTATTATTAGTTCTATAATATGATTAACTCCATTCTTTTATTGACAAATCATATTCATTTATTCTCAACAACTTATTGTACTGTTTATATTTCTTGTAAAAGTTATTTAGATTTCAAGAAAGTGGGTTATTTTGTCTTGTATTGTGTTTTAATTATTTTATAAGAAAACCAACACAACATTATTTACTAGGTTACAAGTTTAACCAAATTCTGTTTTTATAAGTCCGCCTGCCCTTATTTGATACAAACTTTCAATAATAATGTATATTATTGATTTTAAAATTAAAAAATTATTTATTTTTATTTTCGTAAATGGTGACATAATGAATTTTTTATATATATCAAGATTATAAAAATATTTTTCTGAAGCAAATTTGGTTTTCGAAAAAAAAAAACCGTTATTTATGATACAGTATGAAATACAGTATCCTAAAAAGTTTTATACAAATGTGAAAAAAGTTTCTTACATTTCACAAAAAAAATATTCTTGATAAAACGTTCTGCATCACTTTGAAATCCATAATCATGTAATGCTAAATTACAAAACTTTCAGTACACACTTTAAGATTGGTTTTGGATAATTTATTGAGTAAAGTAAATCGAAATAGCTTAAAAATGAGTGCAATGAAGTAAAGCATATTTTTTAATTATTATTAACATTTTAATTAATATTTTGCTGCATATTGAAATTTATAAGTATTGTATTCTTCATTTATTTTCCCTGTATTTAATACCTGATTATGGATTTTCGAGGGATGCAGAACTTTTTATCAAGAATATTGTTTGTGAAATTAAACTTTCCTATTTGTATATAACTTCTTGGGACACTCTGTATAATTGAAAATAAGCCACCCTTTTTGTGCGGCTTACCTTGAACTATTTTAAACTTGCATCCTAATGCGCCATCTAACCGTGGATAGCCAGATTAGGATGAAACCAGCATCGAACGCAGGTTTGTTAGTTGGTAGTAGTGTAAGAGGTGTTGCCTATTTATTAGTTTTTAATTGTTTATTACTAAAATTTTTGTATTAAAATTAATAAAGTATATTAAAAAAACTCCAATATGTGCTCAATTTTAGCTCTGTGCTTAAATCAAAGCTAATAAAGCCGTATAAACGAACGAAGTTTCGTTTAGAATTCGATTAGCAAACAGTTTTAAATGGACTGGAGTGACAGTTGATAGAGTAGCTATTCGTTGTTCGCTTCTTTACCGATACCGTTTAGAGATTACTTTCGGGAAGTGTGCGTGATGCGTTGAAAGTAAATTAATATAACAATAAAATGTAAACTTTACAGAAAATAGAAATGGGTCGATCAAAATTTCCTGGAAAACCCTCGAAACATATACATAGAAAGAGGGTAAATGTTCTTCCACCTACAGGAGAAATAACAAATATTGAATGCAGCAGTTCAGTGACAGTTGATTCTGTTGTAGAAAACAAACAGGTAAACATTTATATTTTGGCCAATTTCGAGCTTTCGGGACAAATTTCTAGCCTTTTTATAAATTTTTACATTGTTTTAAATTATTTCTAATGATTTTCCCTCTCGTAGGATGAAGATTTGACTGAAAGTGATAGTGAAAGTGTACCTACAGCAAATACTGTAAACAAAAATGTTTCAATCAGAAGAAGACTGACTAGGAAGCTGCAAACTTCTTTAAGAAGTAAAAATGTAAACACCAGAAGTTTGCTATCGAAAATGTGCACTAAAACTTCCGTGAAATCGAAATTAAACAAAGGTACAAGAACGAGTTTAACTAGAAAAGGTGTACACAGCTATAACGCATCTTGCCGAGGTAAAGATATAAGAATTACTTATGAGTAGATGAGTTTAGATATTTAAAATAGAAAATACATAAGCCATTTGGTGAGCTAATGTATTATGTGCAGTAACAATTACTTTCGAGATACACTAAATGCTACATCAACCAAATATATTAAACAATCAGTTATTAACTAATAACATAACGAAATGCTCTTATTTATATTAGTGTATTAATACAGGGCCATTCAAAACTATAGATTTCTGTAGCCTATACTTTTTTAAATTTGCATTTTCTTTCATTATAAATTATTATTAAATCTGTTCATATCTCAAAATTGAGACAGTATGTAATGTAGTCACTTAAATTGGTATTTTTAGTCATAATTGCTTCTGACACTAGGCAAACCTAATATGTCTAAGTACATGTGGAAAAATCTAACCAGGTAGTAATTATCTAGCATTATAAATATTATTTCATATTACACAACTATATTTAGGTTATTTTAAGTATTAATTTATTTAATGTCTTATTTCTAACTACAAGGTTTAAACACCGATTCTGGTGAGCATGCTACTCCCAAATACCAGAAATTTAGCCTAATTCTCTGGTGTTCCAACCATAAGTAGGGATATTTAACGAGCCCAACATACATGGACTCAAAACTGATGGCTTTTAGTATGCAACTACACAGGCAGTTTGTTTGGGCTTTTATAGGTACGCTGACTTTCCTTGGATAGTCACACATCCAAGTACTAACTGTGGGCAACTCTGCTTATCTGCAGATGTCAATACATTTTTGTTTTAAGACAATTTTAATACAAATATGTCTAAAATTAAAAAAAAAATGTTATTATAAACCATATTTAATAGTATGCAATTGAAAACCAAACACAAATATTTGTTTTAACATTTTTGGGGGTGACATGACTTCAAATAATTGAATATAGCAAAAAAACTAATCAATATTGAAAAAAATCAGTTACATATTCAAAAATTAGAGAAAATGCATATTGAAAACCCAATTTTTACATTTATTTGATTTGTACTTATAATGGACCCATGAAAAAACTTCGAAAATAGTAATATTTCCCTTTGTTAAGTTTCAAAATTTCATAAAAATATGTATATACTCTAATTTGGGTAAAAAAAAACTAAAAATACATAAATTAATTTCAACAACTAGTAAAGTCAAAATGACCAAAAATTGAGTAAAATCCACAAAATAGATTTCCATAAATCAGAATAGATAGTTTTTATTAATGTTGTGAATTTCCGACTGGAAGATACTTGGGTATATATACCCAAATTTTTAGATTACTTGGTTCTACACCTAAACTATAGACTTGAAGTGGTTCATATACATATAATGTCATGGTTAAATGGAAATTTATGCATTTTTTACAGTTAAATTTTGGCATCTTCATTGAAAACTAACAGTAAATACTTTTTCAATACTCCTTTTTGAATACATAATGTTTTTGAGAACAAAGTGGCGTTTTTGGTGGAACTGCACTGTAAAAATCCTTTCCCATGCTCTCATTTTAACCAAAATAGCAGTTAATTACTTAAAAAAAGAAGTAAAATAAAATGCTTTATTGATCCATGAGTGTTTGACATTATAATTTGGCCTATTAATTAATTTCAGCCCTAATAATCCTTATTTCAAATATTTGTGACATTGTATGATCTGCATACTGGCCTACTGTAATAATATAATCTTTTAACTTTGCAACTTTAGGAATAAATAACAACAATAAAAGTTTTTGATTATAAAGTGATACACAATGTTTCTAAAGTACGAGTCATGTCTGTGATAACTATGCATGTCAAAAGAACCTGATAATATCTTATCACTTGTATATTTTCATGTTTCTTATTTACTAAATCATGATTTTTTATTTGTTTTTACCGCCCTTGTTATTGTTTTGTTTAATCCACGTTGACTATGACATTCAATGTGTTCTGGAGTTGAAAGTCTTTCAATCTTAAAGGATAATTATTTTACATAACAAATACCTTAGTAGAATAGATGAAGCTCGTCAGCAAGATATATTTATATTCTATCTTGATAAAACTTGGTAAAACACTCATGATATCGTGAAGAAAGAATGCTTAATGTTCCTGCAAATAGCGGAAAACGCATTAGAATATTACAAGCTGGTAATGAAAACGGATTTGTCCCAAACTGTTTGCTATTATAGGCAAAGAATATTATGAGTTGTTCAGCTGATTATCACCAAGATATGAGATCTTCCTTGTTTGAGAAATGGTTTAGCTAACAACTGATTCTTAACCAAATGATGTAATAGCAATGTAATCATTTTAGAATTTAAATCCAAACTAATAAGTCTTACATTCATCTTAATTTCTTACAATAAAAGGATACAAATAACAGACAACTTGAAAAATGCTGCATTGAAATTCCTAACATCCTGCACTTGTGTGAAGTTAGCGCCCGGCGCTGGCGCCCAATTTCAGCGCTTACCCCCCTCCACAAAGAGAAGTTCACACTGCTTAAATTCATCAATACTTTGAGTAGTTACAATTTTTCATTTAGATACTTATTAATGAGTAAAATTTATAATAAAATGTAATGAGATGATATAAATTGAACATAAAAATATATCGATATAATTTTACGTAACCACAGCGTTTTTGTATCAAATAAGGCTGTGCGAATTTTTAAGACCTATGAGGGACTATAGGTAATATTATAGACAAGGGAATTATTTTTGTACGAGAAAATGATGCGTTGTGCCAAATTCTGACTAAGTGGGATTTAATCAGGTACTTCACAACTACATTCCCTAAAAATTTCAGTGTTCTAAAACCCCGGCGTCATGCTAAAACGCACCCCTAATTATGTATTATTTTTTTTGCGAGAAAATTAGGCGTTGTGTCATATTCTGGTTACATAGGATTTAATCTGCTACTTGGGGACTAGTTTTTCTTAAAATGGCAGATTTCTAAAACCATGGCGTCATAAGTTAAAAAGCACCCCTAAAGAATATTATTTTTTTTTACAAGAAAACGGCGCTTTGTGCCACATTCTGACTAAGTGGGATTAAATCAGGTACTTCACAACTACATTCCCTAAAAATTTCAGTTTTCTAAAACCCCGGCGTCATACGTTCAAAAGCACCCTTAAAAGAATATTATTTTTTTTACAAGGAAACGGCGCTTTGTGCCACATTTTGACTAAGCGGGATTTAATCAGGTACTTCACAACTACATTTCCTAAAAATTTCAGTGTTCTAAAACTCCGGCGTCCTAGGTTAAAAAGCACCCCTAAAAGAATATTTTTTTTACAAGGAAACAGCGCTTTGTGTCACATTCTGACTAAGTGGAAGTTAATCAAGTACCTCACGACTACATTCCCTAAAAATTTCAGTGTTCTAAAACCCCGGCGTCATAGATTAAAAAGCATCCCTAAAAGATTATTATTTTTTTACAAGGTAACGGCACTTTGTGCTACATTCTGACTAAGTGGAAGTTAATCGGGTACCTCACGACCCTTAAAATTTCAGTTTTCTAAAACCCCGGCGTCATAGGTTAAAAAGCACCCCTAAAAGAATATTATTTTTTTACAAGAAAACGGCGCTTTGTGCCACATTCTGACTAAGTGTGATTTAATCAAGTACTTCACAACTACATTCCCTAAAAATTTCAGTTTTCTAAAACCCCGGCGTCATAGGTTAAAACGCACCCCTAAATATGTATTATTTTTTTACGAGAAAATTAGGCGTGCCATATTCTGGTTATATGGGATTTAATCTGCTACTTGGACACTAATTTTTCTAAAAATGGCGGTTTTAATAAAACCCCGACGTCATACGTTCAAAAGCACCCTTAAAAGAATATTATTTTTTTACAAGGAAACGGCGCTTTGTGCCACATTTTGACTAAGCGGGATTTAATCAGGTACTTCACAACTACATTCTCTAAAAATTTCAGTTTTCTAAAATCCCGGCGTCATAGATTAAAAAGCACCCTTAAAAGATTATTATTTTTTACAAGGAGACGGCGCTTTGTGCCACATTCTGACTAAGTGGAAGTTAATTAGGTGCTTCACAACTATATTCCCTAAAAATTTCAGTGTTCTTAAACCCCGGCGTCATAAATTAAAAAGCACCCCTAAAAGATTATTATTTTTTTTACAAGGAAACGGCGCTTTGTGCCACATTCTGACTAAGTGGAAGTTAATCGAGTACCTCACGTCTACATTCCCTAAAAATTTTAGTTCTCTAAAACCCTGGCTTCATATGTTAAAAAGCACCCCTAGAAGATTATTATTTTTTAATAAGGAAATTGCGCTTTGTGCCACATTCTAAGTGGAAGTTAATCGAGTACCTCACTACTACATTCCCTAAAAATTTTAGTTTTCTAAAACCCTGGCGTCATAGGTAAAAAAGCACCCCTAAAAGATTATAATTTTTTTACAAGGTAACGGCGCTTTGTGCCACATTCTGACTAAGTGGAAATTAATCGGGTACCTCACGACTACATTCACTAAAAAATTTAGTTTTCTAAAACCCCGGCGTCATGAATTAAAAAGCACCCCTTAAAGATTATTATTTTTTACAAGAAAGCGGCGCTTTGTGCCAAATTCTGACTAAGTGGAAGTTAATCGGATACCTCACGACTACATTCCCTAAAAATTTCAGTTTTCTAAAACCCCGGCGTCATAGGTTAAAAAGCACCCCTAAAAGAATAATATTATTTTTACAAGGAAACGGCGATTTGTGCCACATTCTGACTAAGTGTGATTTAATCAGTTATTTCACAACTACATTCCCTGAAAATTTCAATTTTCTAAAACCTCGGCGTCATAGGTTAAAACGCACCCCTAAGTATTTATTATTTTTTTACGAGAAAATTAGACGTTGTGCCATATTCTGGTTATATGGGATTTAATCTGCTACTTGGGAACTAGTTTTTCTAAAAATATAGGTTTTCTAAATAGATTAAAAAGCACCTTTAAAAGATTATTATTTTTTCACAAGGAAACGGCGCTTTGTGCCACATTCTGACTAAGTGGGATTTAATCAGGTACTTCACAACTACATTCCCTAAAAATTTCAGTTTTCTAAAACCCCGGCGTAATACGTTCAAAAGCACCCTTAAAAGAATATTATTTTTTTACAAGGAAACGGCGCTATGTGCCACATTCTGACTAAGCGGGATTTAATCAGGTACTTCACAACTACATTTCCTAAAAATTTCAGTTTTCTAAAACCCCGGCGTCATAGGTTAAAAAGCACCCCTAGAAGATTACTATTTTTTGACAAGGAAATTGCGCTTTGTGCCACATTCTGACTAGGTGGCATTTAATCAGGTACTTCACAACTACATTTCCTAAAAATTTCAGTGTTCTAAAACCCCGGCGTCATAGGTTAAAAAGCACACCTAAAAGAATATTTTTTTTTACAAGGAAACAGCGCTTTGTGCCACATTCTGACTAAGTGGAAGTTAATCAAGTAAGTACCTCACGTCTACATTCCCTAAAAATTTCAGTGTTCTAAAACCCCAGCGTCATAGATTAAAAAGCATCCCTGAAATATTATTATTTTTTTACAAGGTAACGGCGCTTTGTGCCACATTCTGACTAAGTGGAAGTTAATCGGGTACCTCACGACTACATCCCCTTAAAATTTCAGTTTTCTAAAACCCCGGCGTCATAGATTAAAAAGCACCCCTAAAAGAATATTATTTTTTTACAAGGAAACGGCGCTTTGTGCCACATTCTGACTAAGTGAAAGTTAATCGAATACCTCACGACTACATTCCCTAAAAATTTCAGTGTTCTTAAACCCTGGCGTCATAGATTAAAAAGCACCCCTAAAAGAGTATTATTTTTTTTACAAGGAAACGGCGCTTTATGCCACATTCTGACTAAGTGGGATTTAATCAGGTACTTCACAACTACATTCCCTAAAAATTTCAGTTTTCTAAAACGCCGGCGTCACAGATTAAAACGCACCCCTAAAAGATTATTATTTTTTTGCAAGGAGACGGCGCTTTGTGCCACATTCTGACTAAGTGGAAGTTAATCAGGTACTTCACAACTACATTTCCTCAATATTTCAGTGTTCTAAAACCCCGGCGTCATAGGTTAAAAAGCAATGTGGAACAAAGCGCCGTTTCCTTGTAAAAAAAAATATTCTTTTAGGGATGCTTTTTAACCTATGACGCCGGGGTTTTATAAAACCGCAATTCTTAGAAAAACTAGTCTCCAAGTAGCAGAATAAATCCCATATAACCAAAATATGGCACAACGCCTAATTTTCTCGTAAAAAAAATAATATTCTTTTAGGGGTGCGTTTTAACCTATGACGCCGGGGTTTTAGAAAACTAAAATTTTTAGGGAATGTAGTCGTGAGGTACCCGATTAACTCCCACTTAGTCAGAATGTGGTACAAAGCGCTGTTTCCTTGTAAAAAAATAATAATATTTTAGGGTTGCTTTTTAATTTATGACGCCGGGGTTTTAGAAAACTGAAATTTTTTATGAATGTAGTCGTGAGGTACCTGATTAACTCCCACTTAGTCAGAATGTGGCACAAAGCGCTGTTTCCTTGTAAAAAAGTAATAATCTTTTAGGGGTGCTTTTTAACCTATGACGCCGGGGTTTTATAAAACCGCAATTCTTAGAAAAACTAGTCTCCAAGTAGCAGAATAAATCCCATATAACCAGAATATGGCATAACGCCTAATTTTCTCGTAAAAAAATAATACATATTTAGGGGTGCGTTTTAACCTATGACGCCGGGGTTTTAGAAAACTAAAATTTTTAGGGAATGTAGTCGTGAGGTTCACGATTAACTTCCACTTAGTCAGAATGTGGCACAAAGCGCCGTTTCCTTGTAAAAAAAATATTCTTTTAGGGGTGCGTTTTAACCTATGACGCTGGGGTTTTAGAGAACTAAAATTTTTAGGGAATGTAGTCGTGAGGTACCCGATTAACTCCCACTTAGTCAGAATGTGGCACAAAGCGCTGTTTCCTTGTAAAAAAATAATAATATTTTAGGGTTGCTTTTTAATTTATGACGCCGGGGTTTTAGAAAACTGAAATTTTTTATGAATGTAGTCGTGAGGTACCTGATTAACTCCCACTTAGTCAGAATGTGGCACAAAGCGCTGTTTCCTTGTAAAAAAATAATAATCTTTTAGGGGTGCTTTTTAATCTATGACGCCGGGGTTTTTGAAAACCGCAATTTTTAGAAAAACTAGTCTCCAAGTAGCAGAATAAATCCCATATAACCAGAATATGGCACAACGCCTATTTTTCTCGTAAAAAAATAATACATATTTAGGGGTGCGTTTTAACCTATGACGCCGGGGTTTTAGAAAACTTAAATTTTTAGGGAATGTAGTTGTGAAGTACCTGATTAAATCCCACATAACCAGAATGTGGTACAACGCATCATTTTCTCGTAAAAAAATAATTCTCTCATCTATAATATTACCTATAGTCCGCACAGCCAGAAATTATGTGATACAAAAGGCTGTAATTCCGTAAAATTATATAGATATATTTTTATGTTTAATTTATTTCATCTCATTGCAAATTATTACAAATTTTTCTCGTTGTCTCCCTTATTAACGAGAAAAAAGAAATAAAATATCTAAATGAAAAGTTGTATCTACTCAAAGTATTGATGAATTTAAGCTGTGTGAACTTCTCTTTATGGAGGGGGGCAAGCGCTGATATTGGGCGCCAGCGCCGGGCGCTAACTTCACACAAGTACATCCTGCTGTGATTTTTAATACTTATAAGACTATTTTTATTTTTATATCTGATTCACTTGATTGTTCACTTATTTTTACTAAAATAAAACCCATCTCTAAATACATATTTGCTGTTTTAATTAATATGAATGTCACATAAACCTCAAAAACAGGTTGCCATCTTTACATCTCTTTATCCATAATTACCTGCTAGTAGGTGTTAGAATGTCATTCTAACACTTGTTATAGAATGAAAATGTATGCAATATACATAAGATGCAATTATTTTAGAATATTTGTTCAATCTCAAGAGTGATAATGTTACCAAAATTGATTTCAAAAGAAATATATATTCAGTAATCGTAGTGTCAAAACATTTTGTATCTCTCCATATACTTGTAGGTATATTGTGTTTCATATTATTTATCAGAGTTGTTACAAAACATATAGTTCATTAGTTGTCCAGTTTCTAAATGCCTAATGAAATATACTATGTCACAGTATATTGGTCCTAATTCATTGTATTTTTTGTACTATGCTAGCGTTCTTCTTTTCAGAGACCACGAATTTAGTTGGTAAATTCGTTTTACCCACAAGAAGTGTACATTCATCTCGAGTAATAAAACCGAATAAAAGGTTCATCAGTGATATAGATAATGCCGTTACTTTAAAGAAGAAGGTAGCCATTGTAAAAAGGCATTGTGGTAAATTGGAAGATGACAAATCTAAATTACCATCAAAATTCATAGAATCTGGCAGCTTTAATAGTGATAATGATAAAACAACTTTTACAAATGGACATAGAGTAGTGTTACGGCAAGCCAGGCTCAAGTTGCCCAACCAGATTGGACTGCAAGGGCCCTTCTCAACAAAGCCTAATTCATCACCAGGTTAGTATCACAAAATAATAAAAATAAAACTTGCATTTTTCTTTAATTGTGGTTTTACTTCTTTCTGGATATTTGTTGCTATTTTCCCACTGAATTTCACATATGTACTCTAGGTGCTGTCACTTGTGGCGTGTGTGGAGCTGTAAGATTTTACAGGTTCCTGAAACAAGCCAGAAAATTCAACATCTACAGCTGTGAATCATGTAGAAAATTCATAGCAAAAATGATAAAGCGCCAGGCATGTGGAAACAAAAGCAATCAAATAACTTTGAATTGCAATAAAGGCCAAGGGACATGTCACATGTCTTCTGTTGTAAGAAACCAACAACAATGGAAGCTAACCAAATGCCCTTATAGGGCCAGATGTCCGGCGTGTTGGCTGAAAATGTGCCTTAGAGCATTCCACATACCCCCATCGTTGAAGCAAGGTCTAATTCTCATGTTACCGAAAAATATGCAAGGTTCTGGACATCGCTTTGAGTAACCCTCAACCGACGTCATTGTGGCAGGCGAATGTGGAAACAAAATTAGTTATAGATCAGCCTCAAGAGACAACGACTCCAAAACAACGACCTGTAAGGTTCAAAAATCCTAAAGCTCAATCCGCACCTACCCTTCCCGTTCCAAATTCCGACATAAAAAGGCAAAAAATAGATCTAAAGGGACCTAGAGTGAAGCATGTGTGCCGCAGTGCGTCTATAGTATTAGGTCAGCCATTAGCGACTTTTCCTGAAGGGGAAAAGGAGAAGAAATGTGATAACCAGGAACAAGTAATTGATATTAAAGTAGCTGAAGAAAAGACAGCCAGTGATAAAATCGTTAGTGAAGTTAAAGTGACTATTCCTAAAAGCGACTCAATATCTAGTGAACCAGAATCGAGTTGCAGTGATAGGACTTCCAAAATCTCAAGTAGTGATTCTGTGGAATTTACAAGCAAGAGAGAGAAACTCTATAGGCATCCTTCTTCCATTTTACAGAGCTATATAGAGGTAAATACAGTCTTATTTTTTTTTAGATTTATGTGGTCGTTACAAATTTGCACTTATAATTTCCTCCACCCAAAAAATTATGCAACTCTTTATTACAGTTTTAATTATTAAAAAAGTTTAACTTGTTTTATTTATTTTTTTTTTTTTTCATTTACAGTCATAATACAATATATTAACTACTGATTGCAAAACATTTATTTACTTCAGAATTTTATATAGAACAGGTTACTCAATTGTAACAACCTAGTTTTATGCTATGATTTTTGACACCTATTTTTAGATTTCTTAATATAAATATCTTTGTCATTTTTCATTGAAATTTGATGTTTATCTATGCTATTTTGAAATATTATTCTAGCCAAAATTTCTTATATAAAGTGTCCTAATAATATTAAAACTAATCAATTATTGAAATTGTTAAAAAAAAAAGCTATACTATTTTTTTACAGAAATAGTTCAGTATTATTTTAGTATCTAATTAAAATAGGATATAATTTATTATACCGGGTGTTTGCGCGAAAACTTTGAATGGCTTTATTTCTGAAAAATGTAAGTTGGAATCTTGAATGTTTGCGTTATGAGACAGTTCATAAGAGAAATAAATTCCACATACTTTTTATATTACCACCACTTTCCACTTCGCCCCAGGCTATTCTTACATCAACATTATTAGTGACGCCCTAAGGTTCAATTTCGTTCATAGGAAATCATCGTTTTCCCTTATATAGGAGTATAGCCCTCCCTTTTATTGTTAAAAAACGTTTACCGCACTTACATTGCAAAGGATGCGTAAATTCTACTTTGTATTTTGAACATAAAAGGTCTGTCACCTTCAGAAAATTTTTCCTGTTACGCCCATGGTTAATTGATAAAAATTCAATTCAAGATAATTTTTTGGTTTTATGTTTTTACGTCAAAAATAATTGACATTTTCCAAATAAATTCATGTTATACTTGAAAGTGTGGGAATATACCTCTTGGTCGCCGCGGTCAGTTTTACCCAAATTTAATCCTTTCGCTATTCGAAAGGTATAGGCCACTTGGTCTCCAAACCTGGATTAAGGGTTCCAAGAAAATTATGGGGTTATTTAATTACTCTAATTATAATATCGGTTTGTGACACGTCGAGAACTAAAATAAAAATATTTTTCATCAGTTAATTGTCTGCATTCTTACTGAAAAGATTAATTTTTTTATTTTAAAAGTGATTCTCATCTTATTCATTATTCCATAAAAGAAGTTTTGAGTTTGTGTTGCAATGGAGTCGATGTTAAGTGTAAAAGGAAAAAAGTTGTTAATTGTAAAAAAATATACATTTGGAAAAGACAAGGAAACAAAGTTAGGTGTATCATATAAGTGTACTCGTCGTGGGTGTAAAGCGACTATTGGAGTGGACGATTCGGAAACTGTCTTATTGAAATCTAAAAGTGAACACAATCATCCACCATCGGACCATTTAGATGTAAAAAAACTTCAAAACGGATTGAAAAGAAAGGCAACAGAAGATATTTGCGTTAAACCCAGTAAGTTAATTAATAACGGAATCCGAGGGGAAGGAAATACTATTTAATTCCAATAATGCCATTTGACGAGAGATTAACTTCATATACTCTTTATATGATTAATACGTATACTAGCGATACGTCGGACTTCCCGCCTACAATGTGGGCATCGTGCACAAGTTCCACAGAACGCACAACAAATGCTTGTGAGTCTTTCCACAAACATTTTAATTCTGCTTTTTATTCGGCGCATCCCGATATATTCAAATTTGTTAATGTAATTCTCGATATTCAGTTAAATACTTATGTGAAATTAAACAGTACACATATACCTAACAAAATTAAAAACGCTAATTAAGTAGTTTCTTATCATTACAAAAACTAATTGCAATTTGGGTTTCTTAAATAATTTTTATTTGGTATTTTGTGTATTTTGTACCTACTTTTTTTTATTATGTATAATTTTATATTGTTTTCTATTAATTATAAGTGTTTTTTTAATTTGGTTTTATTCTTTTCCTGACCCACATTCTGTACCATATCATATCAGTTAAAAATTTCTATTCACGTGGAAAATAATAAAAATCAGTTAAACTATTTTTTTCTTAAAAATATTATTTTCAATAAATCGAAATAGATACCTTTAATGATTGATAACTACGGCGACCAAGAGGCCTACCTGATTTTAAAACTGGAGACCAAGTGGTCGATGAGATTACGGAACCCCGCTGACAAAACTAACCGCGGCGACCAAGTGGCCAACACCCGAAAGTGTTGTATCGCGAAAAGGTTTTAAAAGAATAATTTGGAAATTTATGTGAAAATATTGAGCCACACCCTGTATGTATAATGTAGGATTATGAAAGAGCCAATTTTTTGAGTAAAATCATAATAAAAAAGTTTTATAGGTTACTTTTGAAATATTTTAATTTAAAATTTTCACTACGAAAAATCTATGGATGAAAAATATGTGGAAATGCGTCTTCATATACACTGTCTCATATCCCAACTTAAATTTTACCAGAAATAAAGCCATCCCAAGTTTTCGCACAGTAAATTATTTTCTGCTAATTCTTAGGTGATGTCATTACTTGACCTTGGCTATCAAGTTTCGGGTTTAATGTACTCTGAATATTAAAAAAAAAATTCCAAAAAAAACTGGAGTCACTAAACTAAATAATCTTTGTTTTTTGTAATCCTTTAGTTTTAGATCATTTATTTGAATTTATTATTACTTTTTTTGGAGCACTTTATTATTTGCAAGGAGATAATGTGCGGAGCAATGTAAAACAGCCGCTGTATACAGGGTGTCTCGATAACATTGATTATAAATTATACCACCAACAATTTTTTAAATGTACCGAAGGGGTGTATATTTGTATTAAAATTGGCACACCTCTATTTGGTTAATTATTTTACCTACGTCGCTGTCATTATTGACACAATTATATTTCAGTGCCAAGAGATTCATAACAGCACTGATTTTATTTGATACAATAAAGAATAGTAAATAACAAAAATATTTATTTGTTAATTTTCTGAAGTACCTAAGTAATAAACATCTATATTATTTTCCATGTCTGCTTCAATATCTGATTCTGAAGCAATTTTTAATAATGACACCAAAGTACTTGTGAAAAATGTAGTAAAATTATTTATCTGCAATAAGAAATACCTAAACCGTTACATAGCAATGAGTACAATGATTTAATATATGTATGAAAAGAATAATTTGATTTTTGAATTTTAAGGTCGGGTTCACACTATGCGTATTCTCGACATGTGTAAAATACAAGGGGCTTTCCACTGTTGAGAAATTTGTACACCCATTGCTGTATTCGGCAATGTTTGTGGTATTTCCTAATCACTGCCGGCATTTCCGAACAGCTGCCAGCATTTCCGAACAGCTGCCAGCATTTCCTACACATTGCTGACCATAAATATTGTATTACCGAAATATTTGCTTTACTCTTAGAATAAACCAAAATTACGAAAATGAATATTCGTTAGAGCTATTTTTAGGTTTTAACTTATTTATAATAAATAGCAAGTAACAATACCTACTTTGAAGCTGTTTACTTTACAATAATTTAATAAGATGTACAACTATGAATGGTAAATCGGAATAAAGGATACTGAAATTGGATAGTATGATAAAATAATATTTATTTTGATAACCCAAATAAAAATGAAACAGAAATAATTAGAGAAAATGAATGATTTTTAAAGAAACTATAAATTATTGTTAAAAATTAGATTAGATACTATATTTAATTCATGTATAAAACAGTTTAAAATCATGATTTACAGCAGGTGATTTTTTAAAATAAGATGATTTAAATCAAAATAAATAAATCAAAGAAGTTGCTTGTTATTTAATAAAAATAATGATTTGCAACAATAGTGTGAAAACTAAGTTTTAATGAAAACAGGAAAAAAGTGACCCAAAGGCTAGATCTAATATAGAAACAGTAGATCAGGCAAGACTAGGTGAGTTCGGGCTGCGCACTCCAGAGTAGAGTGAAGTAAATAGGCGTAGACGGAGTGCGCATATGGTTTTACTCCTTTTTCTCTCAGAATTCAATGTCAGTTGTCAATGTGACATACTAATACCTAAAACCTAATCGTACTTATCAGTTACAATCGTATAAGTTTCTTCCATATTAATGGTATGCACGGCAACCAAATAAAAAGCATTTTCACTTAAGATTTAGTCACAATTATCTTATTATCGATTTAAATCACCTTATGCGCATGCCCGATCCACACTCCACTCCACGATCTCCGAACGGTCAAAAAGAACTTTTATTTTAATTCCTTTCGTCCCCGAACGCCTTAGGTACTTTAGGAGTGAATATAGTGAAAAGAGTGCGTAGCCCGAACTCACCTACTGACTACAATAGCGGGCCTTTTCATCGTGTGATGAGCGCAAGCGCAGCTGCCATGTTTAAATAGCGGTAATTCAAAAGTTTCGTACTGTTTTGATCGACAATCGCCGCGTTTGAATATCCACATCGGATGCATCTGAGATGTGAATTTTTTATCACGTGCTAGAGATTTAGACTTTATTGGGTACGTTATAAAATGACAATGACAAGTAATACTTTTGAAACTACAAATCAATCTAAATTTGAAATCTAAACAAAAATTAAAAAGGACTAATCACTTTTATATTCATGCTAGCATAAACAAAGGATAAATTGACAAACTTGGCTTCATAGAACACTTACTTTCTGGCATGGAACGAACGTCTCATTCACATCTCATTTCAAATAGAGATGTAAAAAAAGTATTCTGGAAAGGTCACATACTTTGATTACTATACGAGGCAAGAGAGAGGTCCGACACGCCCAACATAGGGCGCGGCCATTTTGAACCCTGTGACACAGTTTACAGCTAAAGAATCAGATCGCTCACTCTGCGTCGGCACTTTGGATCTCAATGTTTCAGTTTATACACTGTGCAACTCGGATAATACAATATATGACAACCGCCTAT